ATGATTATTTAGATATTTATAGTTCGCTATTAGCAAAGGATTTTAAAGCCATTTTTAGTCTGTCCTTGAACACAAACTTGTCACCACAGTACCTTAAGCGCTTCAACAGATGTTTACCAAATGTCAGAATGTCCTCAAAAGTCAGTGGGCTTTCATTTGAAAATGGAAATATAGCACAATATGTTTCTCAACACACACAAACTAGATTGTCGCCAAGGCAGGATTAATGCTGTCAGCAGCGAATAACACAACCGAAAGTAACTATCTTAGATCCTCATTCTGCATATCTAACTGCTTGTAACTTTGCATTGCACTGTGCAACTTGTTGAAGAATGTGCGCCAAGCTCGTACATTACTGTTTAAATAAATGAAAATATAGAAAATGGGTACATTCACAACTGCCTGGTTCATTCAGGTGACCCATTAGCTCATCAATTCTATTTTTTACCAAATGTGATGTAGTTTTATCTTTCTTTTGGTTCTTCCGAAAACAATCATGTTGGAAACTCATGTCTTGGAGGCTCTTTTTTACCTGGAGAGTTTTATTAGGTTTTTAAAATGCTATATGATGTCATTTCCGGATGGTTACACTCAGCTAACGACCGGTTTGGTCCCAGGCCAATATCATTCGTGAACTAACCAGTGAGAGGTGTGAAACAGTAGCAATCTATTACCACCAATAAATTTGCACCCAACAAATTAGCACCAATGTTGAATAAGAACTAGATCACTGTTGAATCAGTCTCAGTGCTGTGGTAGGTTTTAACGCTATTGTAAAAACCCTTGATTACGTGTGCAGTTTTGATTTTAGAATTTCAGTCCTATTTGATCGAGTGTTGGCTCTCAACGCTTGTTGTTTGTATTATTTGCTTTTTAAATCTTTTCTCTAAAGTAATACTAATTGTATAAAATTCTCCAGGTGAAAATCATGAGCGCTGAAGTGTTAGTTTGGTAACTGTGATACAATTGATCACTGAAATCTTTAAAGCTCCACAATGGGCTATATAAATTTTACTTAATTCAACCTATTCCCAGCTGAGCGTGATATTTAAAGTATTGTGCGATGGTTACGATTTTTGCTCGCATGTTGGTGAAACAATGGTATGACATTTGCGGAGCTCAGTAAAATTTCCCCTTTTGTACAAAGCAAGATCCATCTACTATTTCAAGGAATAGTTAAAAGGAGATTTTGCCATTTTATGCATTACTTATTCACTTTCCACTCCCCCACCATTTCCTCCCCAGCAGTGATGTATAGTATCAGAGTCCCATTGTTCTTGGTCTTTTCTTTTCCAAACATTACCTTCTGTTTCATTTTTAGTGCAGTAGCAAAGATTTCTATGCCACATGTTTTCAGCAGACACATTATTATACACAATACATAGTATTGCAGCTATGTGAAGTCATTATTGATGCTGTTATACTTCTAAGCAACACTCTTAATTGATACGGATTTTAGCACCAATGTAAACACTTGGGGAATATTTCCAAAATGTTTTTAAAAATATAGGTTGATCTATTTGAGATTCTTATTTTGTACAGTAATTTTGATCTTGAAATGACCTGTTGCTTCGGTGATGTGGGTTATTCAGTGGCCTTTGTGCATCTTGGAATGACTATTGATTTTAATGGAAACAGATGCTTCCCACCAGCCTGAGGCTGATCAGGAGCAATCCAACCTCCTCTTTCCACCCCCCAGCCCACCCCCCCAAAAAAAAAACACGCACAACTGGTTTGAGTGTGCTGTTGTGCTCAGGACTTAAAGGCACATGATATGCCTCATATCAAACTTGTGAGAACTACAATTCTTGACACCAGAAGCATAGGGTGGAAATGGATTTTTAGTTTATTCTTAAACCTGACTGGCTTGTAGGTCCTTATTTCTAATTATTCATCTCTCCTGTAACTTGCCAACAATCATGATTACTTCTCTTTCGTGGAAGAAATGAAGGAGTTGTGGTCGTACAACATGTTAGGGGCTCAGCAGTACTCTGCAAACTTTGCTGCTCTTCTACATTGAAGGAAGGAGAGAACATTGGAAAGAGTTCCTCTGCCTTTGCACTAACATTCTTCAACTTTTTGCAGAGAGTTGGGATCAAGCCATTTATTTGCCTATCCTTTTGTGAAAGGTTCCTGATAATGAAGTGACTTGAGCGAAGGGGAGAAAAAGATGTCATGTGAATTTTAAAAGCTCTAGAGAGAGAATTAGCCATTTAAGGCTTACATAAATCTGCAGCATTCCACTTGCCTTTGTTTGGAAGATGGATTATTGGTTTACTGGATAAAAATAAATTGAAACAAATGGGCACGGTAGCTTTTGATTTATGGGCATGCAAAGACACAGTTATTTCCATTGTGTTCGTGCTTTAACCATCTGTGGATATAACAGGCTGGTCAAGTAGAAATGGAGCACAGATCCTTTAGAGAATGGAATCACAGGTGCTGATAGTATTAACAAAATAAATTATAGGGTGTTGACAAGAATAGTAGTATAGAAGGTTCCTAATTGAACTCCTTCACTAAAGCATTACATGGTAAACCAATGCAGGTTAATGTGACACTTCTGATGTGTTAAGTTACATTTGGACAGCAATAAAGTTTCTTTTTATGTGAATACGCAGAATAAATTTAAGTGGAAGTGCTGGTGCACTCTTCCAAACTTTCCTCCAAAATTGTTAGCTGCACTCCCAATATTTGTGTCATCTGCAAATTTTGTAATTGTCCCCCTTATTCCTGAATCCAGATTAATGCACATATAACATAACATCATTATGTTCATCAATGCATACGTAATGTAACAAAGTTTTAACAAAATGGCTTGTCTCCGTTAGCAAAGGCAGATGAGGCACCTGACAGCAAAACTGCTTTAATGCACATTTCCAGCAATGGGCACACGCCATTAATATTTTTCGTTCCACTTCTGCATCACATCTTCTTGCAGGGAATAGCCTGTACAAACCTTAGTACTAGTCTTTTGATGTCTACTTCTTCATACTCCTCCACCTGGGATCAATCGAGAACTTACCTAAAAAGTTAGCCTATTGACAGTCTGCTATGGGTTATCTCTGAAGGACTTTTTGTTATGTAGAGTGAAGGACCTTGAGTTTCCTTGTGCATCATACACAAATTACTTCACTCACTTTTCCTTGGATGGGCATGTTGAAAATACTTTGGATGCCCACAATTCCCTCAAGAAATGCCCACAAAGTCGAACAGCTTCCAAATTCTAAGCCACCAAGCTCCACAGATGGTCTGTGATATTGCTGCTGAGCAAGGGAACTTTTGGATCGGAGGGGACTTTACTGCGGGCTTTAAGCAATTCGAATGCGAGGTGGGGAGAAAGTCTTCTTGCTTGGAGTGCAATTATTCTCAGACTTCAAACTGTCAGCCGTTTTCAGAAGCCAATGTAAATTTGCAACGCACATACGGAGGGCTTTGCTGTAGCCGGTAACCTAGCAACCCCGATGAAAGCACTAATTGACTTTAGCTTCACATCCTGTAAGGTTTGCTTTGACGATCCCGTTGTTAATTTCCACATTATTTGACGTACCTAAAGTAGCCTGTTATTGAACGTCACGGCAAGTGGGTTTTAAAATGGCTTGTTTTTTAATTCAAACTTGCTATCTTTGCAGCCAGGATTAGAATGCATGAATAACTTCTGAAAAGATCACAGTGATCATTTTAAAACTCGGTTGTATGGTTAGCCCATTCTTTTTATCTACCAGTTTTCTTTTGTCAGTTTAACATGCTTTGTATGTAACATGGGTGAAAACCTTTAGATTAACCTTTAAACTGGAGTATTGGGAAGGATTAATAAAGCTACGCTATATAACTTATCTTGTTAACTCTTCTGTATTTTTTTTAATTGGAGTGATCCCAGATTCATTTTGTTGCCGATGTAATAGCAGACCAGCATGAAATATCCTGCAAATCTTGGTGGTAAATAATTTCACAGAACTCGTATTCCACCTTTTGATGGAACTCTTTTTTGTATTATTTCAGTGATCTGTTCATTGTCGAATTGAACATCCCCTGGGCCTTTGAGGCATGCCAAGATGGCACTTACGTACAGACTTAATGGATATTAGGAAAGCCTCAGTGAATGGAAACATTTTTGCTAATTGTTCTTGTTAATAATGAATAGGGCGTGAGAGAGTAAGGGTGGCAAGTGGAGCCAAGGGCAGAGCTGGGAGGAAGGATTTCTATCAGCTTGATATCAAGCCTGGTGCTGGGATCCCTTTGCGAAATAGCAGTTCTTAACCTGTATTGAAACACACTGAAATCATTTTAATGCACACGTCTAGTGATGCTTATTATGTATTTTGTTAGTGAGTGATCTCAACTAATTTACTTTGGATTTCCCCAAATTTGATCTTTGCTCCAAGTTATCTCCTGTCTGTTTGCAGTTGATTGATACTTCGTTTTTTGTTCCAGTAATTCATTTGATCACCGGGGCTCTGTTCTCCCTGTCCATCCATCTCCTGTTAGATCATTTCATTATCTTCAATCCCTTCGTAGGCAGTGGCTAAATCATTAAACATTGGTCTCTTCATGCCCTTAAATTGGAGAATAATAAATCTTGTTTCTTTCAATTTTTCAGGCACTTGTTTCGTGTCCTTCACAACTCCACCTAATATCAGTAATCGCCATGAAATCTCTTGAGAACCCAAATCCAACCAGAACTTGAATACCGTGTTCAAAGATGGAGAGTATTGTCTAGCACCTGTCTCACAAGGTGACAGAGCAACAAATTGGAAATCAGCAAATGTCTGACAAGCAAATAAACTGGTGATGAGACATTGGTACACTCAATAGTCTAGCCCACATGAAAAGGAAGGGAGGGGCAAGGAAGTTCAGAGACAAATTCACATTTATTCAAATCCCACAGTGTGCATTTAGAATGAAATTTCAATTGTTTAAGGGGGAGAAAACTATTATAGATCTGTGTTTGATCTTCCAAAGATTGAAACTTGATTATTCTTTCATTTTTTTTCTGGTAGATGTCCCTGCAGCTGAACAAGAAAAGCTTTTTATTCAGAAACTGCGTCAGTGCTGTGTTCTTTTCGACTTTGTTGCTGATCCACTTAGCGATTTAAAATGGAAGGAAGTAAAAAGGGCGGCTTTAAGCGAAATGGTGGAATACATCACACACAATCGCAATGTAATCACAGAACCCATCTACCCAGAAGTAGTCCATGTGGTAAGTAATTTGCTATTGTTGTATTTACTGTGCTAGACCAGGTCTGATCAACCAAAGAAAACCTGTCATGACGTTTGATGGAGCATGAACATTTTTGAACTTTTATCGACAAACATTTCCAATTCCACCATTTAACAAATTCTTTCTTATTTACTTGTTGCTCAAAGCGTTTTGAGAATACCCTGCAGCAAATTACTAGTCAATATACAGTGCTGCTAATTCATGCCTAACAACTGTAGTCAAGGCCAGGGAACAAGCACCAGCTCCATTCTCAATTGCTTGCCATGAAACCTTAATGGAGTGTTGCCACTCTGCTGGGTTCAAATCGAGTGCTGACAAATCTGTATTTTTTTTTGCAAATGCAATGCTTGATTCAGCTTTTAGCTGTTGTGTGCATTGCCGAACTCATCTAAATAATGTAATTCCAGATGAGCAGCCTGGTGCCTATTATGGTTAGATGGTTCTCATTGGAACGTTTTCTACCACACAAGAGGTCTGAGCAGATCATCTCTTGTACAGTGAATCGAATAAAATGTTTTACAAATCATAGAAAACGTTGTACAAAAGTCCGCTTCGTGAGCGGAGATAATCAACAGATTTACAATTTACAGAAAGCTGCACAACTGTTCTGCATTGTGAGAGGATTTATGTACTCTTGTAATGAAGTCTGCTAAATGATGGGAGATACACATTCGTTTCCAGCATCTGTTGAAGAACCTACAAGTCCGTGAATTGATACACCTATGAACTGTGAATAAATTCAAGTGACCATTCGTCATGTGGGCATAAGCATTCTGTGTCAATAAGCTTTTCAATTTGCGTAGGGGTGGAAGGGAACAATGAGACCATCCCAACTCAATGAAATGCTATCCTCCCTGATGTCTGCATGCACTTCTCCAGCAGGAGTCATTGGATAGCTTATTAGTAGTCAGATCCCTGGCTAATTTTTTTCTCCTCTCTAGGCCAGGGACAGAGAGGTGCTGCCACACCCACCCTGGCTGAGATCAGCTGATGCAGCACATAATGGGGAACAAACTCGGGGTAAGCGTTCTGCAATGCCCTGAGGAATGAGCAACCCCCCCACCCTCCTCATGTCTTAGGTTTTTATATTTACATTCTCCAACCCTGGTCAGAATCGTGATCGCTGATACAATTGGAAATCATCAGGTTGCCTTTCTCAGTTAATAAGATTCTCGCCTGAGTTAGAAAAGATCCTATTGCTTTGGCACGTGGAAATCTGGCCCGGTTGCCATTGAAATCCGACCATTAGCTGGTGTGGAGAATTCAACAACGGATATTCTGAAGTGGGACTGCATCCTGCCTCTTGCTTAGACTTCAAGCTGACTTGGCACAAGTCATTTCCAAGAAAGAGTATAACCCAGAAATGACCTCATGACGAACTTTCAGAGCTAGAGGTTATTGAGGTTTTGCTGGTAGAGGTAGTTTCCCGCATTTCGGACGTATTGTGTGATGCACTATAGGCTCGGTTTTGGTTTGCTGGACCGACAACATAATTACAGCCCAGTATCATAATTGGGTGTGAGATCTTAGTTATTTAAGACCTCAGTTTACCCCAAGTAGGTGCTGTCATTTATTGCCTGCCTTTAGTGGGTCTTGTGGTTAGGAAATATCCCTCAGTGTTTTGCAAAGCACCTAGAAAGCCACGTCTTTTATTTTTTCATTTAGTTAATTCCACAATTTCATTCTGGTTCTGAACAGCCCAAACCTGTGGGCTTGTTTTCATAACATTTATCGTGTACAAATATTGCCAAAGATATATCAGGTTCCTTCTCCATTTCTTTCATTTGAAAGAGCTGCTTAATTGGTGTGCAAGGAGCTTTAATAATTTGCATGGCTAGAGCTAAGAGTTTACTCAAATATAGGAAGTTGTTTCTTACAGGAGCACAACGTTGGATAACTCACTAAAGTGAAATGGTTGAGCACCATTTCATGTCAACCATTTGACCAAGTGTGCGCCGTTCATTCCTTTCTGCCACAGTAGCTGCTGCCAACATAAAAAGTACACTACACAAGGTTGAGTAAGACAATTCCATGAACTTTTTAATTAAAAAACTGAGTTGATGACCTTAAGTGACATTGAGACTACTACTAATAATCCTTGCATTTGATATAGCATCTTATCATGTCTTTGAGACGTCTCAAAAGTGCTTCACAGGATATACTGTAAAGTAAATTGAATGTATTTTGTGGACAAAACACGGCACCCAATTACATACAGCAATGTTCCACAAACAGTTGTGGATTGACTGATCAAATTATTATTATTATTTTTTTTGATTTTACCCCCGGAAAAGCGATCTGCCAATAGACTAACAACCAGGTTTTTACTTACTGCTCGGTAAACGGAAGCTTGTGGGGTAAGGAAATTTGCCCAACATTTCACCCTGCCTGGGAATCAAACCCAGGTCCTCTCGCTTGCAAAGCGAGTGCTCTAACCATTAAGCAAGTGCTCCAACCACTAAGCTACAGGATTTAGCTTAGTTTCAGAGTTCATGCACCATTTTATTACCTGCTTAAAGGGAATTTAACGCCAGTATTTTTTTCTTCAATGTACTCAAGCAATGGAAAAATTATAAAATTACTTTGCTGCACCAATCCTTGTGCTAACAGACTACGTGCCACCTTTCTGCCCTGCTGTTGTTACAAAGGAAAAACCAGAACAAATCCATTAAGTTCAATAGGGTGGATGATTTCCTGAGAGCCAATTTGCAGCTGCATGAGCGCAGGAAAACTGTATAGGAGTATGGAAAAGAATCCCACCCTTCCTCTTTCTCTATTCCCCCACTCCCCCCAACCTGAACTAAATGAACCAAGCCAGTGCGGGTACAATATTAAAGCAAAGATTTCTAGCTACCAGGAAGGAATTGTTTTGTTTCGATCTGTTAAGAATCCATTTTAAATGTAACACCTGCATGGCACAAAGATGACAGCTGTCGAAACCTCCATTTGGGCAGTGCTTACACCCACAGGAAGTTTCTATTTGTAGAATGGGAAACCATTACTCACGTATGGACAACTAACTGTCACTCACTATACATGTGTGTTCCCGCCATCCATATGCATACATGTACTCATTCGTGCATTTTTCATATTGGCACTGGTACCTTGAATTCTGACCCGCAGAGGGAATGGGAGGGTGGAATCCAGGTAACAGCGAGTAACAGTACTGTAGTCCTCAGGCTAACTTTACGTAAATGGTAAGTATTGCTGTGTCCTGTTGATGAGTATACGGTTAATATACAGTTGACCGCTTGTAAAGAACTTTGTTGGGTATTCACACAAAGTATTTTTAATAGGTAATAGATTGAAAGAAATGATTGAATGGATCAGAAATGTGCATGTGAATTTTTCCAGGTTAATTGCAATTTAGATGAGGATTAAATTGGGACTAAATTATCTACAGTGAAAGGATCAACACATATAAAAATACAGTACCTATCGAGAGTGAATTACTATTAAATGGTTTCTTTTATGATCCAAACTGACTTTGAAGTCGTACCCTTTCATCTGAACTTCAAAGAATGTAGTTTGATACAAATACTAATGATATTATTATGTTGATTTGTTTCTGGCCAAACTGAATTGTACTATACATAAAAAATGCTGTTCTCAAGTTAAATATGTGTGAAAATTCACAAGAGGATAGTTTTAATTGGGTGTATTGATTTATCAAAGCTTCAACTTTATCAGTAATGCACCCATAACTTCATTATGAAGAAATTGCATTTAGCTTTACAATAAAATGTAATTGGTTTCAGGAGGTTTCATTCAGATTGTTCCAAGTTGATAATTTGCTGTGTATATAGGGAATATCCTAGTTGCCTAATTTTCAAAATCTCATTTCATTTATGTGACAGAATTTCAAAACATGGTTGCAATTTTGTCACAAGATTTCTCTCTAAGAAGTTCTATATTAATTTTTTTACCATTATAGTAGCTGATTTAACAAGTAAATAAATACTTGAGGCCAAGTTAAAATTGGACCATCAAATTTTAATTTAGCCTAATCATGTCAATGAGCTTTTATTTTCCAACATGCTCTATCTTCAGGATTTTGAATTTGGAAGTTTTCCTAGTTTTATCTCTTGTGTGGATGATCCACAAAGTGTGTAAGGTTGGGGGAGGGGAGGAAAATGAGGAAACATTCTGTATACATATGCCAAAGCAGTTGCTGCTCATAGTCCCCCTCCCACTGTTTTCTGAGATCTTAGAAGGTGCCGCTGCAAGGACTTAGCGGCAGTGAGGAGTGACAACCATGTAGCTAATGCGTGGGTGGTACTTCCACAGCACCTGCAATCTGGAAAAACACTAAGGTCCAGGGCTGTGCCTGGATCCCTGTAGTTTCGGTGTCAGCTTGACTTGCTTATTCGTATTCACGTCTGTAGATCAGATGATCGTGATTTCAAATACCTAATTGGAGATTTGACCTCAGTCCAGGCTGACACTCCAGTGCTGTGCTCGGAGAATTCAGCACTGTCGAAGATATTTCTTTCAAATGAGACTGGAAATCGAGGTCCCGTTTGCCTTTTCAAATGATGTTCTGTGTAATAAGGTGTTATATCATATTTAAGGTTTATTTTATATTTATTTGACATCAAAATATTAGAAGGGGAAAGAGAAGTCTTTGTATTTTCCTGGGGTGGGTGAGGGGGGAGAAGGGGTGGAAAGGTATAATTGGAAAGAGAGGCTTGCATGCTTTATGGATGGTTCTTTGCTTCAATTCATTTAAACTTGGGCATTAGTGATCCAGACTGACAATCATTTACACTGCCTAGTTTGTTTAACTTCAGCAGAGATCCATGACTAAACATAGCCTTAAAACTTGCTTCAGCTCAAATCCTTTGTAGCCAATTACAAGTATTTTAGTAAATACTTTAGAGGCTTGTTAACCAGAAGGTAAATTCAACTATATTAATGGGTATAATTGTAATGTCTTGTTCTTGAAGCATTAATAACTAAACAAACCCTTTCAGTTTGCAGTGAATATGTTTCGAACATTACCACCATCATCTAACCCCACGGGAGCAGAGTTTGATCCTGAAGAAGATGAACCAACCCTGGAGGCTGCTTGGCCTCATCTACAGGTACTCGGAAAATAGAAACCCAGTTCTAGTGTTGATTGACTTATAAGGTAACATGGTTATGGATCCCGACATTTTCTCACCTTAAAATCCCAAATCCCAACATGATACCATCCAAATCAGTTCTTGTGCTTGAATTCCTGTTGTCGCACTTCAAATTGCCTCAGCGTAGCAGTGGCTTAAAGTGCAATGGAGCATTTTGAAGTGCAGCAACGTGATTTTAAACACAGTGTGCGCTGGTGGAGCCAAGCAGCTTTCTGCGTGCGTGCACAGTGACATTCCTAATCATGAACAGTAACGGTACAATGCAGAACCGCTGACTGCTCTTGATCATGCCCTGCTATAAGATTGGGTTTAAAAAGAGACCTTATACTTTAAATATTTTTTTCATGAATTAACTATTTGTTTTTTCAGCACACTGTAAGTTAAGATAATTCAATAGCTTGAAATGATTTTATAGGGTGCCAATTGAAGTTAACAACAGAGCTAGCTCAAAAGATGTAAAGCAGTTTAATCTGTCAAAGGCTCCATTTGAAGGAAATGTGAAAGTTTCGGCCTTGTAGCATTGATTGTAAATAGTCTAAGCCTTGGTAATTTGTTGATGCTAATTGATTTTTTTTATTTCTTCAGTTGGTGTACGAATTTTTCTTGAGGTTCTTAGAATCTCCCGATTTTCAACCAAATATAGCAAAGAAGTACATTGACCAGAAATTTGTATTACAGGTAAGCAAAACATCTTGATTGAAAAAAATTATGATAGTTTTCTTCTTCAGAAGCAATGTGTTCCAACATTTACTACAATTTTTTTAATTGGTTAGCATTTCTCAACCCCATATTATTCGTCCTAGATCTCATCAAATGCTGTCAGTCACCCCTGAACCAGACATCTGTCCACTCACCTTGGTGTAGTTAGTAAACGTGATATTTCTATAATGATTCCTCCACATTACTTCTGAATCTTGCAACCCATAAGAATCCCAAAATATGTCTTATAGTGTTTTTCTATTCATTATTCCCTGGCATTTGTCACTGATTTTCCATTTATCCTATTTCCAATCAATTTGAAGCTAGTTAATTTCCCATTAATTCTGTACAGCTATTTTCTTTGAATTTCTTCGAATTCTTGAAAATCAAATACAACTCTACAGGATAGCCCCTGATCATTAATTTAGTTGTCTCTAATAATAGTAATAATAATAATCCTTCAATTCGATATAGGACCTTTTAAATTGGATGAATGTCTTCAAGCGGATGTACTGTAAAGTGTAACAACTATTTTGCAGGCAAATGCAACAGCTAATTTGCCTACCGTCTTATTATATAAGTCCTGGAAAAAATATGGAATTACTGAAATATTGCTGCAGACATGGTAGTGGAACCTCAATGTAGATTTGGCTCAACATGATTGAGATGTGGATCCTGATATTTTCATACTTGTGAATACAAAATCCTAACGTAGTGCCATCCAAATTGATCGTGGCGCTTTAAAGCCTGAAATCCTGTTGTGCTTCAAAACGTCATCAAGCTTGAAATCCCATTGTCTTTACCTTTCCACCTACGTACAGTGCTATTGTTAAACTGCTGTGTGAATGGCTGTTTAAAAAAAAAGAACACTGTTAATTTCATGCAAATGTTGCAGTGCATGTATCTGTAGATTAGGGGCATGCATCTTTGACTTTCTGTTTGTTGCTGCAACATTATAAGAGAAAAAATAAATTTATTTTAATATAGTTTGCTTTCCCCCTTTTTCTGAACAGCTTTTAGAACTGTTTGACAGTGAAGATCCACGTGAAAGAGATTTTTTGAAAACGACACTTCATCGAATCTATGGAAAATTCTTGGGCCTCAGGGCTTATATCCGAAAACAGATCAATAATATATTTTATAGGTGTGTGGGAAACGGCTTAAAACCTTATCAGCTTAGCTATCGTTACAAGAAGTATTATCAGAAATGGAATTTGTTTTAGAATTAACTTTATTATTGTTTTCTATCAAACTAGTGTAGAGATTTTGAGAACGCATCTTTTTCTTTGTGAATTAATTGGTACTTGCTTCAGTATTACTGCTGCAATCTTTTAACCGATACCCACTCACTCACCCATTTAACAACTGTATAACTACTGAACTGCCTATTGAATGCAGTTTGTTTTTCATCTTAGATTTATTTATGAAACTGAACATCACAATGGTATAGCAGAATTGCTGGAAATTTTGGGAAGGTGAGTACTGCAGTTATTATACTCACACACATCTTAATAGGCATAATGCTACTATTAGTAGGGACTCTTGCTATTTAAAAACTACTTTGTGCCAATGTGCTGCTCCTTCTCAAAAAGAACTGAAACTTATTGCTATTATGTCTGTCATACGAAAGTGAGCACATCATTTTGATTGTGCACGTACCTTAGCTGAACAGCACTCATGTAAAAATAGGTTTGTGGTGTGTCTACAGGAAATGTAACTAGGTTGCAGGCACTGTTTCCAACCCTTCTGGTAATGCAATTCAATGTGCTTTGATTGGATTGAATCCAATAGGTTGTCATATTACCCTATTTTGATCTGTATTCTACAGCTAGGTGTAGATAAAATCTTTGAAAGCACCCATGGTAAGATTCAGTAAGAGCAACACACAATTGCATCACATTTCTTGCAAATATAGTGTAAAGGAGGAGTTTTGAAAAACAACTCTCAGAACTTCCCCTCTAAACATTTTTGATTTGTAGCTCTTTAAAACTTGCCCAAAGGGATTCTTAAAACCGGTGAAGAATTGTGTATATTGACTGTGCTGAAAGATATGTAAATTCCTAGTATGGAAGTCCATCTTTATAATGAATGATTTCAGTATAATAGAAGGAAGGGAAGACGGAATATTGTAACTGTTTTTTTTATCTTGGATGTAACACCGATTAATCAAGAGAGAACAGATATCTTAGACATGTCATTTATATCCTTATTATTGTATGTTTCTGGTACACTCAATTTCATTTATGTAATAGTTTTACTAATGGTGTATTAATACATTCATGGTACACTGTATAATGGTGTGTTTTATATACTCTGATATAATTTGACAAATTTGTGTTTTCATAAAATGTTTCTTTATAAAGCCCTTTGTTTCTACAAGTATGAAAAATTGTAAGGGAATTTTTAAACAATGTAGAAGCAGGCATGTTTGAACAAGCTTCTGTAGCTTATTTTCTTTCTCTTTCCTGCAGTATAATTAATGGATTTGCCTTACCATTAAAAGAAGAGCACAAAGTTTTCCTGTTGAAAGTGTTGTTACCTCTGCATAAAGTAAAGCCTCTTAGTGTCTACCATCCACAGGTAATTAATCTTTATCTTGATGAAATATTTGTGGAGATTTTTTTTAATGTGTAAATTTATCAGATTCCTTATTTAGATTCTTCTAGTCAATCTCTTGTCAGTGGTGAATCCTATTGGAATATGTTGAGCATTTGTCAAAAATCTGCATTTGGGTTCTGTATTGATGTTTTCTTGGAATAATGGAAAAGGGATTTTATGGTGCAGTCAGACCTCTTCATTCCTCAAAATTACCTTGTTGGTGCAATAACTTGGGGATCTCAGAGTTTGAACCCCTTTCAGAAAACTAATGCATGAGATTGATCAACAACCTGTTTTCACATCCAGTCATTGTTTAAGCAATGAGCAGTTTGTTCTGAAGTGGGGTTCCATCAATCCATTTTCAATCTCTTGCAGCCTAGCTCTTTCCATAATGCAGTGTTGTACAGGGAGAGAAATTATAGAAGTTGAGGATTGTAACTAAATTATATTTGCCATTAAAGCCATAGAGATCAAGGAGAACATAGCAATGGCCATTTAACAACAGCAAAGGCCATTCGGTGCATCATTCTGGCTTGTTCCAATACACAAACATTGCATCAGGGACTCCTCTTGTCCTTCAGCTAATCTCATTTAGTCTTTTCTAAGAAAGTATCTGGTATTTTCTGTTTTCCCATATCTTCAAAGGTAATCAAGCAGAACTCTAGAATCTGCATTATTTCTCCTCCCTTCTACCTTCCTCTCTGGCCACCTATTTTCCACAAGTCCCAGCAGCACAGACAATTAGGTGCATTGAGCATATAACTACTTCAGTCTATTAATACTCCTATGATCTTTTTCCTCAGTACATATTTATTCAGGTTTTTCAAATCAGTTTTATCTGTTTCAATTAATCCACCACCTTATGAGGAAAATTTCTCTAATCGTTCAGACGCTTCAACTTTTCTGGGGCTTTTTGTCATCTGAGTTTTACCCTCTGAGACATTTAAAGATGGTGCTTAATCCAGTTTTATTAACACACCTTTTTCAAGACCTTTCTCTTAATTTCTGCAACCCTTCTCCATATTTTTCACTAATTTCCATTCTAGGAGTCTTCAAAATGGAGTCATTCCTTGTTGATTTTCGTTGAGCTCGTTGTTGTTGGGGTGTTGTCGATTTGCATATCTAAACTGGGCAAGGGGGGATTTGTGAGGTTTTTTTTGCTGGCAGTAAGAAGGCAAGTCACCGTTTGGTGGTTTGATAAAACAGCTTTAATATGTTGCAGTTAATTTGTTGACCTCTGATTTTTGTTTAGCTGGCGTACTGTGTGGTGCAATTCCTAGAGAAAGACAGCACTCTCACAGAACCTGTGAGTTTATTTTCATTTCCTTGCAATAAAACGCTGTGATTCCGCACTTTTGATTTCTGAAACTAGATCACGGTTACTGTAGTGTCTGTTTTGTAACCTTCTCAAAATATTTTTGTATTCAGAACAAATTCCAAATATTTTTCTGAAAGGCCAAGTGAGTAAATTCCCAAAATAATACACCTTTTAAATGTTTACGTTGATATATCTTATATATCATTGTAAATTGAAACTAAACCGTTGGCCTGTTTTCCTATTATTATAATAATGATGATATGCTTTTAAAAAATATAGTAGAATTAAAACAAAGGGCATAAACTCTGAAAATTGTTTTGTGTTTTATGCATTCATTTCAAATTTTAATGGGGGGGGCCCATTAGTCCTGTTGTAATGTAGTGTGTGAAAATTGATAGGAAATGTGTTTTGATTGATGAATCAAACATTTAAGTAAACAATCGTTTTCTAATTCCACTTATAATTTTCATGGTAAATTGAAAATTTGGTCATAAGTCAGTTTTCCTGTTCAACCAAATTACCTATATATAACCTATATTTTACACCATTCCGCAATCACTAGCAGATGTGCTAAAAAATATCTTTATTAAAAGATTCATTGTGTTTTAGAATTCTCTTTAGTAATTTAAGTTTCAATTTAAGATGCCCTGATTTTTTCAGGTGGTTATGGCATTGCTTAAGTACTGGCCAAAGACGCACAGTCCAAAGGAAGTGATGTTTCTAAATGAGTTGGAAGAGATTTTAGATGTCATTGAACCATCAGAATTTGTAAAGGTCATGGAACCACTGTTTCGACAGTTGGCTAAATGCGTTTCTAGTCCACATTTTCAGGTGAGGAGTAAGTTTGTTCAATAAAAATGAAAATCCTTTTATAATTCTGTATGCTTGGCATAAATGACTTTTTAGGAGTAAAAATTCAAGAGGTGGTCAAACCATGAAGCAGATCAAAGACCATTTTTAATTTTAAATAAGGGAAAGATTTGTAATTGTTCCGTCCATCTCTAATCTATTTTGCAGTGAAATGCTTTCAGCTAACATGAATAAGCATCATTGTACAGTTAAATTGTTTTTTTGCTGTTTTTATTATGTTAATTTCTGATCAGACTTTCTTTGATACAGGTGGCAGAGAGAGCCCTGTATTATTGGAATAATGAGTACATTATGAGTCTAATCAGCGACAACGCAGCCAAGATCTTGCCTATTATGTTCCCGTCCCTTTACCGTAATTCAAAGACTCATTGGAACAAGTAAGAGGAATACAATGTGCTATTTCATAGTCTTTCACATTAATTTTGTGAAAGACTTGTTCTCTTTTTCTTCTTTTTCCATTGTCTTATGATTAAATGTAGTTGAATGAACGGTTAGGAAGAGGAGAATATGAACACCGAGAAAGGTTTAGGATAACCTAATTTCTTGAAATAGACATTTAAACGTAAAGTTCCAGGTTGAGCATTCCAAATAATTATAACCTGAAATTGTGTTTCATACAAAAAATATATATACAAAAGGACCATTTCCAAGTTATGTCTGCTTGGGCTGCTACAGCAGTTTTGTCTTTGCATGAGTCTTTAATAATAATAATAATAATCCTTGCATTTGATACAGCGCTTTTCACGTCGGGAGGACGTCCCAAAGCGCTTGGGCCAAATGATTTGCATATTTTTGTATTTGGTAAAAATTAAGACATTTCACAGAATCTTCAAAAATAGCATGTTAGAAATATAGCAATAAAATCCTCAACTAAAGTTGGAGGATTCTATTCCAGATGTACTATCTTAAGAATCTGTTACTTGGTAGCTATTTCAATATGCAGTTTATGCCCAAAATGTGCTTCAACGAAACTTACTCTGAATATTTAATTGTGCAGCTAATAGTTTTATCTGGCACAATTTTGAACAGTTCCAGTAATGTAAGCTTTTAACTTTATTTAAGACTACTTTGAGTTAACGGAATTTATTTAGATTTCTTAAAATACTTTACGTAGGCAAGTGTTGACTATATTTAGGATTTCTGTTTTTCAGTTACCCCCCGATAAAATACCCCAATACGATAAAGGAAATCTATGTTTATCCAATAAACACCACAAAACCCTGTAAATGGTTACCTGTCCTGACGCGTATTGCGCATGTGTGAGGGTGCTTCTCTACTCAATATGTGCAGGAACTGACTCTGGTGACACATATTACAGGAAGGAGTCAGAACTACACATTGTTTGACATTAAGTGTCCTGAGACATGTTTCAGAACTCCCCATCTCCAAGGAAGTCCAGTCCCAGTGAGTTAACAACAGTACCCCCGGCTTCTTATGAATTCTTGTCCATACCTCACTTATTTATATCCAATTTGGATTATAATTTTCAAAAACATTAAAGTGTTTGTAATTACTTGTGACTAATTACGTGGAAGAAGGTACTATTCAAAGCTTGAATGATTGACAACTAATCAATATTTTATGAATAGGACTATCCATGGATTGATCTATAATGCTCTCAAACTCTTTATGGAGATGAATCAGAAACTATTTGATGACTGCACCCAACAGTTTAAGGCAGAAAGACAAAAGTAAGTTGAATCTTGTATATATGAAAATATCCAGATTGATGAGAAAGAACATGTATTTTTATAATGCTTCACACCCAAATGGCTCGAATCGGGTCAAAGGAAAATACTTTCAAGTCTAGGTATAACAATTCTGAACAGTATTATAAACCTGTGACTATTCACAATAGTGTACCAGTATGTACATGTAGCAGAATATTTGATAACATTTAACAGTTAACATTTTCATGGCCATTGTGCCCCAACAGTAAGAATTGTATTGAAAATTGTTAGACAAAGAAAACCCCACACCATAGAAGTTTACTTTAAAATGTAGGGGAAAGAGATAGCTATTGTACAAAAAATATGGGGAAAACAATTGTTCAACTGTTTTATGACTCGAGGCCTTCAAACTGTGGTCTTTTATTCTCTAGGGAGAAAGCAAAATTGAAAGAACGTGAAGAAGCTTGGCTCAAAATAGAGAATCTAGCCAAAGCAAATCCACAGGTATGCTTGCACTATTGATCTTAAGTTTCTTTTTTACAAACAGTTACATGTAGAAATACATGTGAGTGTTTTAGGATTGGGGGTGGGAGGAATTCCTTTGATTGGGTTTGAGGAGAACATTTATTGAAGAGTACCTTCCTGTGATATTGTTGGCCATGAAGTTCATTGATACTGACACTGAATGTAGAATATAAAGGAACCTTCCTTTGTGTTGGCACTGACATCCTTCTCCTTCATGTGCACACAAGAGCACTCAACAATTTTTAAATTAACATGGTCATTTACTTAATTCAGATGCTAGTTCTTATCATAAATTGTTCGGTTGTAAATGTCACTAAACACTCATGCACTTCAACTAGGGATAATAATAATAATAATCCTTGAATTTGAAATAGCGCTTTTCACGTCGGAAGGACGTCCCAAAGCGCTTCACAGAATACACTGTAAAGTGAATTGACTGTATATTTGTGGGCGAACGCTGCAGCCAATTGCGCACAGCAATGTCCCACAAACAGTCGTAGATTGAAAATGACCAATTTATTATTGTTTTTGGTTTTTGGAGAGATTATTATTGGGCTCTGTGTGGAGTAAGGAAACTTGCTCAAGGTTTCGCCCTGACCTGCCTGGAATTGAACTCAGGTCTCTCGCTTGCAAAGCGAGTGCTCTAACCACTGAGCTACAGGACTCCACAAGGATGCTAAATACTTCCTCCAAACATCTTTTGTGTTTCTTTTGGAAGTATGCAGAGCAGAAAAATGTGCATTCGATTTGTTAGACTCACTTCAATATTTAACAGATTTTCAACAGCTTAAAAAGCTATGACTTCTCTGTTATTTTTGAAAATATGTACACTAAAAACTGTACATGCATGTGTACATTTTTTCCTCAAATACTGAAGTGTCACCACAAATTCAAATTGCTTTGTTATTGTAATCAAACTTCATAAGTGACTTCCTTTCATCAGACGCTGAGTTCCTTGGGAAACTGGCCATCCTGGGAATTGTCTATGTGTCCTGTCTCCAAAAATCAGGTAGGGACTTCTGTCAAAAGGTACCAATATCTTAAGCTTTGTGACATTTCCCCAATAGCCCATTGAATAAATGAAATGTCTACATTAATGCTCGTTATATGGACACAGTGAGAACTCTCCTTGATGCAGAAGGTAACTCGACACTGCTAACTGCTTCTGTGTTAAAGTGGTGGATGACAAATGGGTTATCAGAGAAAATACAATTTAAAAAAATATTCGGTCTAAAGCTGAGTATCCAAAGCAACCTAAGTATTTTATCATCAACCGTCTTTGCTTTTTTTNAACCTTATTTTATATGCAAATTTTAAAATAGAATGGCTAAGAGTACAGGAAGCTGTGGTTGAAGCAAAAAGCATCAATGTATTTAAATGGAAACCTGATGCATACATAAGGGAGAGGGAACCAGAAGTGTATGGGAGACAGGAATAGGAGAGGTGGAGGCTTGTGTGGTGTATAAACACCAAACTGACAGCTGCACAGCAAGATGAGCATAGATTGTTTCTTTCAGTTGTACTGTTTTCCAGTAAATATAATAGACCAGTTGTATTGTTGTAACAGTAAGCACTTCTGATATGTAGGGTGTACGTTTTTGAAAAAAGACTAGATTACTTGTACTGTTTCTTTAAAAAGCATTTATTGCTAAAACGTCCCAAGGAATTTGAAGATTAAAATAATGAGAAATAATTCACAAAAATAAAATTCTTACTTGTTTGTCATACCAAATCAAAAGACGCATTGTATAAGCTTTTACGGCAGTAATTTAACCGTGCCATTCAAACTATGGGATATGGCGAAATTACTGAGTTATTAGTGAGAACAATTTGATCTTTCAGTTGCACTTATCATTTGAGTTTAGAATACAACAGTACATGGAGCTCAATCTAATTTCTCTTTCAGTATCAGCTTTTTGTTGAGCCAAGTGGCATGAATAGTCCAGTTGCTATGGAAACAGACGGTCCCTTGATAGAGGATATCCAGTTGATCAGAAAGGCAGTGGAAGACCAGGCTACTCAGGTACAAGATGGCTTCAAAGCTACCACTATTGCAGTTGCTCAGTTTATTTCAGTTAATTCTTTCAACACTGAGCCATGGCTTCCTGCTAGGTAAACCAAGTACATTGATTCCGCCTGAGAACATATACTGTTAACAACATCCTATTGGCAACCAAGAAGAATACGATACATATTCTGCAATATTCTGAGCTTCTCTTACAAATTATGTGGCAAACTATTTCTGAGCAGCACTGATGGAAGTCCAGGAGGAAGTTGTAGAGCAGTTTGCCAGTCTAAAGTCACAAAAGCAAGGACAAAGTTATTTGAGGGATTCTCAGCCTTTGAAAGTGCCACTAAAACCTAATTGTATAATCTCACCATGTTCTTCTACAGTCACATTGTATACACATGTGACAAGCAGATCAGTAATTACCAAGTTAAAATGCTATTTGAATCAGTGGGGTTATAATAATTATTCTAGCATATGAAAGAAAGTATGAGGTTTCTGTATTCATTTTAACAATGCAAGGTTTTATCAGTTCATTGTGCCCATTCTCAAATATCATTTGGATATTTGATGCAAAGCAATTTTTAGTTAACTTTACTGTCTTGGTAACTTTTTTTTAAAAAAAGAAAAACTTTTGTTTCATTACTTTTGCTTAAAAAAACCTAAGAGGGAATCACATCAATAACCTAGACTGGAATTTGCATGTTTTATATGAGCACATCTTGATAATGACTTGTATTCTTTATTCAGCAGGTGCAGAAAGATATACGAAAGGATCGTCCACTTGTGCGTCGCAAGTCTGAGCTGCCTCAGGACATCTACACAGTTAAGGCCTTGGAATCCCATCGCCGGGCTGAGGAGATTATATCTGCTCATGACGGGCATTAGGCTGTTTCAATGGAAGAATATTGTAAAAAGCTGTTCTCTGGACTCAGTCTACTGTAGAAGCTATTATGCTTTGTGCCATACCAATCAGCTATACATTGAGTCAATGCTTTCTGAATCCAGTCCTGTAGGCAATAACTTTACCATGTATGCAGTCAAGCCTTGGTAGTTCAAACAATGGTAAATAGAGTATTGTTCTTTGTACAATCTAGAAAGTTGGAATTAAATTTTGAGTTGTCATATCTGCATTAACCACCTGTGCATAACATTTCTTTGGGATTCTTATTTTTACCCATACCTATGTTAGAAAATAAATGGTATATTTAGTCTAAATTCATTCCTGAGACCGTCATAGTCTGAATTTCCAGTATGTCACCCTTTTTGTATATGACTGCATTCCAGAGCCTAATAATTGGGCTTATCATTGCATCGCCGTTTACTAATAAAAAAAACATTTAAAACCGTTTTGAACTCTAATTACATCCCTAATAAATCTGACAATTGTAAAGAAGGAATTTTTTAAAAAATCTAATTACTCACAAGCAGAATTCTGTACCAAATGACCCAAAAAGTTATCTATATGTTGTGAATACACAAAACTTGTTTGTAACATTGCCTTCAGTTGCCACCAGAGAATGCCATTGCTAGATGCACTGTAAAACTTCCTACAGAATTTAAGCTGAAAAAAAATTGATCCACTTTTTAAAAAAAAAATTGGTGAGAAGCATAACCCGAGTTGAATGTGGTGGCATCCTATGTTTTAGTAATGCACTGCATGGAAATTATATAGAAAGTAAAACAAGAGGAATGATGTGTAGAACATAGACAATTGCAAGGATTATTTGGGAGTAAACTTGATATTGAAAGTAAATCTGATTCAGTTCCCCTTTAAAATATAAAATAATTAGTTTTAATTCCTGTTAGATTGGTTTGAAATTTCTATTTATTCAGACATTTGGCATCTCATTTTATAATTTTATTTTTGAAAAAAAAAGTTCCATACATGTTGTCTGTGTCTTGTATAATCTACGACCGAGTTGAAGGCTCTGATAAAACAATTATTGTACCAAATCAGCTGTGGCAAGAATTCTCAGGGTTGGTAATTCTTGATCCATTCCTTCATCTGCTTAGCGTTTCAATAATGCAACTTTTTTGGTGCTTTTATAATCTGTCTTGTCGGACAATTGACTCCCTGTTTGTTGGTCTGCTTTAACAAATGAACTCTGTTCTGTCCTAAAAGCTAAAGAGCATTTCAAGATGCCTCATGAAGATTGGAAAAATGTGCACTCTTCTAAATAATTAGCACTGGATGTTTAGAAAGCTGTTTGGATGAAGACATAGTATGCTGAATGTGTCCTAACTGCCGGGCACGCATATCTGTCATCAGTTAATTCATCCAGTTTTCAATATTAGTGATCAAAAGGTCAGAGGAAAACCACATATGTATTTGCGCATATTCTCTAAACACTTCATTTAGTTTGGTCAGTCTCTTTGGAGAACTTTAGTGCCATGTTCGCACTTTAGTGGTGCAAACTGCTCATTGGGTTTGTGATGGAAGCTGTTTCACACTGAGAGTATACGTAAACACTATTAAAATTTCTTCATGTTCCCAGCTGTTTACATTATTTTTAAGAGCCTTAGAGCCTTTTTGAGCATAGCATGCAGAAACACCTATAACATTGTAGGGATTTTCAGGGCTGTAAAGAACATTTGAAGGTTGAACCCATATCTTGTAGGATAAACCTTCAAATTTCACAAAACACTTCCTGTTTAACTTGAAAAGTAATGCTTAAAATGAATATACCTACATAATAAGCATGTTGGAAAATTAAATTTTCCTGTAGCTGTTGTTGAAAGTTTTTCTTTCTCTTCACTTTCTCCACACCCCTTCCCTCCCAAACATGCCTTGTGTTCCAGGGCAGTAAGGTGCTTTATGTATGGAATCTTGCTGCAGTGCTTTCTTCATTTGCGTACCATTGTTTGAACTTCCTTCTTACATTGATTAGTAGTTTCTCACATTCATTGGTTTTGGGTGTTCAGTATGTTTGTGTGAGGTGTTCCAGGAGGGTTGTAATTTTATTTTGCCCACTAGAAACTGTATATTGTTTGTGTACAATTCAAAGTATAATACAATCTTTGGCATTGTTCCTAATTTTAACTTATCTAACATTAAAGATTGACACTTGCCAAGTTGCAAGCCCACTTTGAATTACCCTTTTCTCTTCTGTTGAGATTAATCAGCAATTGTTTTGAATTTAATGGCAATTGTTAAGAGGTGATAACGTTTGTTTTCTGAATTTCCAATAAATGTCACGCAGGATGTTGGTGTGGTAAAAGTTACACCAGCTTCAAGCTATTTCCGACATTATGCAGTGCTGGCTACAAGACAGCAATGTCAAGAGATTTGTTTTGTATATTTGTAATACATTGCAGAATACATTTTCTCTCATAGTTTAAAATTCCAAAAAAGGAACCATTTTAAATGCTTAAGACTTTGAAGGGCTGGAGCGATTTCAGGAGGTTTATACGTGTGTTGACTCTGGAGATCAACCAACACAAAGTGCAGATTGTACAGCCAATATAGGAGCAGTTTTATGATCAGTTCCCCCCCCCCCCCAAAAAAAAAATGGAATGCATAGAGTTTAAAGAAAAGGTAATTGCAAACTTGTTCTGGTGATTGTTTTTCTTTGAAAGCAGTTGTTTTGATCGACACCTTTTAAGTTTCTATGTATCCTTTTTTTTAAAAAAAAATGCCCTGTACAAGAGGAATGTCCAGTAATATGACAAGTGACCTTTAGTGTGATACCTATACTAAATGGCTTCGTTTTAATATTGTACATATGTTGTACTTTGTTTTAAGTAGTGTAATATCTAATAAAAAAAAAGTAGATTTCATATTTTGTACAAAATGGTCCTATGTACAGAATAAAAAAAAATTCATAGCAACTACAAAAAGTTGGTAAGTGGCACCGATGTTTTTTTTTCTTTAAGAGAACATTTGCAACCCCCCCCCCCCCCACCCCCCCCCCCCGTTGGCATTAAAACTTGTTGAAATGTCGACTCTTCGCATCGTAACGTTTCGAGTCGCTTCTCCTTTGTGCGTTAACTCATTTATGTCATTTTATGGCTTTATGTCACTCCACTTCTGTGCAAAATCACACACACACACACACACACACAAGTGCTGGGAACTGATCACTCTCTCCCCCCCACACACCCCACCCCCCACCCCCAGGAGAATGATCTTTCCGCCACTGCTGTTCCATGTGATGTTGGAGCGGGCGCTGCAACACACTCTGGTGGTGGTAACTGACGTTCAATCCCCCCCCCCACCTCCCCCTCCCCCTCGTGGAAGGCTCCCGACCCCTCGCGGTGCAAACCGTCGGGGGGAACGGCTGCGGGAGCGACCGCGGGTCGGGATCCGCGACCGGAAGGCGATTCCCATCAACATCTGCTGCCGTCGAGGCGGTCACAAACATATATATATATTGTGTGTGTGTATATATATATTGTGTGTATATATATTGTGTGTGTGTATATATATTTGTGTGTATATATAGTGTGTGTGTATATATATATTGTGTGTGTGTATATATATATTTGTGTGTATATATATTGTGTGTGTGTATATATATTGTGTGTGTGTATATATATTTGTGTGTATATATATATTTGTGTGTATATATAGTGTGTGTGTATATATATTGTGTGTGTGTGTATATATATTGTGTGTGTGTATATTGTGTGTGTATATATATTGTGTGTGTATATATAGTGTGTGTATATATATTGTGTGTGTGTGTATATATATTGTGTGTGTATATATAGTGTGTGTGTGTATATATATATATATATAGTGTGTGTGTATATATATGTGTGTGTGATCCAGATCTACACTTACAATTTCGTATCACTTAACAATTTGACTGGACTCACTCACCGGAGCAGTGGATATTTTAGGAGGACGTGGACGTGCAAGATTTTTTTTAAATATACACATTATATATATATATATATATATATCTATGTATATGTATACGCTCTCCGTCTGCATATTTACCTCCGAATTGAACGTCAGTGTTGCCGACGTTGGGAAGACGTCTGACGGCCCAAGTGACTCTCGGGGGGGGGAAAGGAAACCTTGACGTGGGGGGGGGGGGGGGGGTTATTTCCAACGACGACGCTCCCTGTTCAGGCCGCCCCTGTGCGGAAAGAACGCCACCCAGCACGGTGGTGGGGGGTGGGGGGTAAAATCCGCTCCCGTTTCGATTCGCTACCAAGTACATCAGACGGAAGGCAGGAGGCGCAGTCGAGCTCTGGGTGAAGCTGGGGGGGGGAGGGGGGGTCAGAGACGATGAATAGAAATAAAACTCGCCTCACACCACAAATAAAATCGGTCTCTCGAGCCGAAGGGAAAAAAAAATCAAACGAGATGATGAGGCGTCGTGTGACGGGAAGCGGTTTTAAAAACTCGCCCGTGAGGCGTGTGCGGGTTTTTTTTCGTTAAAACAAAAGCACCGACTGCTGCGTCACCCTCCCGGGGCGGCTCGCGGTGCGCGCTGGGAGATGTAGGCCCTCAGCGGAAGTTGGTGCCGGCAACGGCGCTGCGTGTCCACCCCCCCCTCCACCCCCATTGCCGGAGAGGCGAGGAACTACAACTCCCGGCGCGCACTGCGGGAGGAGGGGGGGTGGCGGTGTTTCCGGTATGACCTCACCCTCCGCATCGTCACGTGGGGTGGCGGGGGACTCGGAGGCTGTGGTCGGGTTACAGGCACTGATTGACTGACCGTCCGTCCGGAGGAGAAGGCGAACGACCAGGGGACAGAGCGTCTGCCGCCATGTCTGACGGCGGAGGGACCGGCGGGGGCGGCGAGGACGGCTCGTCGGCCATCGAGGCGGCGGTGCAGAACGTCGCCGACTCCTCGGTTTTGCAGAAACATATCCGCAAGCTGGTGCCGCTGCTGCTGGAAGATGGCGGCGAGGTGCCGGCCTCGCTGGAGAGCGCCCTGGAGGAGAAGAGCGCCGTGGAGCAGATGAAGAAATTTCTCTCCGACCCCCAGATGCACACCGTGCTGGTCGAGCGCACCACCTTGAAAGGTTTGTGTGGGGGGGGGACCCTCTGGGCGGGCGGGTGGGTGTGTCTCTCTCTCTCTCTCTCTCTCGAGTCAAGGTGGCCGCCGCATTACACCACCACCCCTCCCCCCCCCCCCTCGCTCTCGGCCGCACCCCCCGCTGACAGCTGACAGACGGCTGTCTGTCCCACAAAAAGCACAACACAAGCTATGAAAGACCCCCAACCCACCCCCACCCACCCAAGGGCCAAGGGACAGCCGAGGAAAGGGTCCGCAATAGTGGCAGAATTATGAGGGAAAAGGGGTGGGTGTGGAGGGTGGGGGGGAATCACAAGTCGTGTGGGTGGGTGGGTGTCGCGACTGGACCTGTGTGTGTAGATTTCCCCGAAGAAACAAAAGGCTGATGGTGTTAGGGTGGAGGGAGGGTGGGGGTGTTAGGGTGGAGGGGGTGTTATGGTGGAGGGAGGGTTGGGGGTGTTTTAAGCCCTTTGGGACGTCCTCCCGACGTGAAAAGCACTATATCAAATGCAAGGATTATTATTATTATGGTGGAGGAGGGTGGGGGTGTTATGGTGGAGGAGGGTGGGGTTGGGAGCTGCAGTTCTGCTTGTGGTCAGCCCTTCTTTTCCAAGGAGCTCCTTCCCTCCCTCTCCTTTAGCTGTTTCTGTTCTGACCATCTGCATTGCTGGCGAATTGAGTCACGCAGATTAAAATATGGGCACTCCTACTTATTCCCTGGAGATCAGCTGTGTAGGGCGCTTTTTATATATATATAACCAGATTTAGGGAATACTGTACTTGTTAAAATGTTGTCTGTGTAAATAAAAGACCGCATTTGTATCTTTTTTTTGAAAAATGTGTACAAGTAGACATTGAGGGAACTGAGATAGGACCAATAATTTGAGGAGAAATTCAATCTCCGATTTGCATCCATTGTCTGGGCAAAGTCGAGGCATGGCTGACGTTCTTGCATTTGTCTAGAATAAGCAAAACTGAACAGTCTGTGAATGTAAGGCATTTTTAGATCTTGTTTTGGGGATTGCTGTATTGATACCATTGTTTTCAGATTTCCAGAGGTTCAGTGTTGCCCCAGTTCTGTCAATCTGTAAAGCAATATATGCCATATGCGTTGTTAATTCCCACCCCTTCTGTCAGAATACGTCTCCTTTAGTAATTGGATTCACCTACAGAAAGAATTGCCCCAGTTTTCTGTTTAAATGTTTTAAGAACTAATTTTTACAAAATGAAATGCGTAGAGGTTGATTTCCCTGGATAATCCGCTGGGGCTAATCACATCTGAAGCATGGTGCCAGCTGGTGTAGAAATGTTAATTTTTTTACAATGTTGCAAGCATTTTGTAACTAACAATAACAACCAGCGCCTTGGGATGTCCTCCCCATGTGAAAGGTGTAGTACAAATACAATTTGTTGTTGTTATTGTAACTTAGCCTTAATATAGTGCAGTCTGAATAAATATTGCATTGTTCTTTTATTTATATATATATTTTTAAAAGTATCAGATTTTGTCATTTCTGCTGAGTGAGATATGTGAGCCACATATCATAAACTGATAATTTGCCACTTCCAGGTTCAGCAACGAGTTAAATGTAGGTATAAATAAATGCAGCCAGGATATGGACAGCATGATGGCTTAAGTGATAATGACAAGTTCAGATAGGGTTGGGTTAGAGTTTATTGTGCTATTGTACTGCAGCAATATTAAATCAATGATTGACTGCATTGCGGTGTGTGGGATGGGTTAGTGATTTTCCCTTCCGCTCTTTTCCTACTGGGGTGGGGTTCATGATGACATTCCGTATCCCACTCAATTAAGTGTCGTCAGGCTATTCACCCATAGAGGGCATCACAGCGGAGCCTGTTCCTGTCTTACACTGACATCTGTACATATTCTCCAGGAAGGAAACCAATTTGATCATTCGTCTGGTGATTTATTTTGAGTGGTGCTGGTAATACTAGGTTAAACAAAGTCATATGGTTGAAGTAGCAATCTGTCCTAATACAGAATTACCTGTAAAAATTGTACTCCCATCATTATATAGTCTTTTTTAGTCTGAAGGACCACGTGTGTTACTTTCCAAGCTAAGACCAGTTGCTAGGCCTCATCTGGTGCAGCTTTATGGCTCGACACAAAGAGGTGCTTGTGAGTGACCGCCAATAAATATCTTTTGCTAATGTTAGTCACTGCTCTGCAGAAATGCTTGTCAAATCAGGACCTTTCAACTAGGAATCATTGATATAAAGCATGCCTGCCCCTTGTGTCCTGTAATTCATCTGAACGGTGAATATGAACATTGACATGCTTTGATTAGTATTGGATTTGCTTGTGATTGAAGAAGATTTTAAAACTTCACTGCTTGGACATTTCAACGGTTTCATGATTTTAATATTAAACTGTTTGCTGAAATAGAGGATGTTGGCGATGAAGGAGAGGAGAAGGAGCACACCGCTTACTACATTCACACAGACATTCATTATGGGCTCAAATCAAACAGGTACAGTTTTAAAAAATATATAGTATAGGTGTCTTATTTTATGTGGAAATAAGGATTAAGTTTAGTAATCTTAAATATTTTATCCATTCTACTTTTTATTTTTAATGTTTAAATGTCTAACATTTGTTCCTTCAGTGGCATAAATCTGAAGAAAGTATTAACTTTGGAGTCCTGTAGCTCAGTGGTTAGAGCACTCGCTTTGCAAGCGAAAGACCTGAGTTCAATCCCAGGCAGGTCAGGGCGAAACCTTGGGCAAGTTTCCTTACTCCACACAGAGCCTAATAATAATCCCTCCAAAAATAATAATAAATTGGTCATTTTTAATCTACGACTGTTTGTGGGACATTGCTGTGCGCAATTGGCTGCCGCGTTCGCCCACAAATATACAGTCAATTCACTTTACAGTGTGTTCTGTGAAGCGCTTTGGGACGTCCTCCCGACGTGAAAAGCGCTATATCAAATGCAAGGATTATTATTATTAACCTTGCAGTATATAGGTTAAGATTGTTATTTGAATGGCATTCTTATCACAGCATGTGTGCTATGTTTCTGAATATATGTGTATCCGGAGGTTCATTGCGAGCAAAATCGGTGAATGTTTCTATTGCCAATGATAATTGTGTGTGTTAACAATAATTTATATTTGTTCTACATTTACAATAATTATTTTTCCTTGTAAGTTAAATTCATGTCTAAAAGTTTAGTTCCAAAATCTTACTGTTGATTTGCTTCCAGTTTGGCTTTCATCAAGCGTACTCCAGTAATCGATGCAGACAAACCAATTTCATCTCAATTGCGTGTTATAACACTCAGTGAAGATTCTCCGTATGAAACCTTGCACTCTATCATCAGCAATGCAGTGGCTCCATTTTTTAAATCCTATATCCGAGAGTCTGGCAAAGCTGACAGGTACTTAATTGCTTTTGTGAATGGTTACTCATGTCTTCTATTTCTTTTGCTTCATCAAATACTTAGAGTGTCATAAATCTGTATAACTTTTCCTGAGTTTTATTTTTCACCATAATTGTTCTCACCGATTGATTGCAATAAAAATGTGATAAGGAGGAATTCTCATGGGATTTTGTAGTTTATGTGGGATATAAGGGAAAGGAAAGAAAAATCATGGCAAGTCACTGGCAGCTATTCTATTTGTTATTCTCTTAGTTTTTCATTGTTTGAATTATTCACTCGTCTTTCCCAGGGATGGTGATAAAATGGCGCCCTCTGTTGAGAAGAAGATCGCAGAGCTGGAAATGGGACTGTTGCATCTGCAACAGAATATTGAGATCCCAGAGATCAGTCTCCCAATCCATCCAGTCATTACTAATATAGCCAAACAGTGCTATGAACGTGGAGAGAAACCTAAAGTGACTGACTTTGGTGACAAGGTGGAAGATCCCACCTTTCTGAACCAGTTGCAGTCTGGTGTTAACCGTTGGATTCGAGAAATACAGAAGGTAAGAGTTAATTGACATGTTGCTCTTAAAGTCCTGAGGCTGATGTAAGGCAATTAGAACTATAACACATTTAGTCCTTAAGCTGCCAACAAATGCCATGAAATTTATGGCTCCCAAGAGTAAGGAGCTCCATATTTTCAGTTTCTGCTTTGTAATGTTGAAGTATAAATTTAAAGCTTTTATCTCAGTGGCTTTACTAACCTGTTATCCTATTAGAAGTAGAGCATTTTAAATTCTTAATTGTGCCCTATCATTTAATATTTTTAATTGGCATTTGAAACCATACTAAATGTGGAGTCCTGTAGTTCAGTGGTAAGAGCACTCGCTTTGCAAGCGAGAGACCTGAGTTCAATTCCAGGCAGAGGGCGAAACCTTGGGCAAGTTTCCTTACTCCACACAGAGCCTAATAATAATCCCTCCAAAAACAAAACAATAATAAATTGGTCATTTTCAATCCATGACTGTTTGTGGGACATTGCTGTGCGCAATTGGCTGCCGCGTTCGCCCACAAATATACAGTCAATTCACTTTACAGTGTGTTCTGTGAAGCGCTTTGGGACGTCCTCCCGACGTGAAAAGCGCTATATCAAATGCAAGGATTATTATTATTAAATTATTACAAATATTGCCAAGTAAATTAGATGTTATGAAAAAATATATTAAATCTGTTCTCTCATCTGTTTCCTTTCTAGGTGACCAAGCTGGATCGTGACCCTGCGTCAGGCACAGCACTGCAAGAAATCAGCTTCTGGTTGAATCTTGAACGAGCTCTGTATCGTATTCAAGAAAAACGAGAGAGTGGAGAAGTCCTCCTGACTTTAGAAATCCTCAAACATGGCAAGCGTTTCCACGCAACTGTCAGCTTTGACACAGACACCGGTAAGGATTCGAGCATCTGAAGAGAAGTTAGAATCCCCTTGAAGGCTGCAAAACAGCCTTATTCTGAAATAATTAGGGTGGGGGTAGAAGAATTTTTAATTTATAACTAATTTTCATTGAAAAAATGAACATTAACTTCTATCACAGCACTGAGTGTCTGTTTTCCTCAAAAGATATAATTTTGTGCGTTAAGATGGTATTTGACGAGTTTGTTAAATTGCATATGCCTATTGACTTTTTTTATCCCCTTCTACTTGTAGGACTCAAGCAGGCATTGGAAACAGTGAATGACTATAATCCTCTGATGAAGGATTTCCCTCTGAATGATCTGCTGTCTGCCACTGAACTGGATAAAATCAGACAAGCTCTTGTTGCAATCTTCACTCACCTTCGTAAAATCAGAAACACCAAGTACCCTATTCAGCGGGCATTGCGACTGGTGGAAGCAATTTCAAGAGATCTTAGTTCTCAGCTGCTTAAAGTTTTGGGAACACGAAAATTGATGCACGTTGCTTATGAAGAGTTTGAAAAGGTAACATTTGAGATTCATCTTTTGTTATCTTTCAAGTATTTGCTTTGACATCTAAGCATCCGTTCCTCTGGTTGGTAATGTAACCAACCATTAAAAATGCAAAGCATCAAGGCAAATAATTTTATCAGCAATTTTATTAGAGCATAATTTGTGAATGTGGGGTGGTATCTCTTTTCCATTAATGCTTGTGGTTTCTCTGAATTTATACAGTTTGTTAAAAATGCCTGGCTTATTTGTTCAACAAACTATATTTCCAACGAGGCTTTGATTTTCTTTCAGGTGATGATAGCTTGTTTTGAAGTGTTCCAAACTTGGGATGATGAGTACGAGAAGCTTCAGGTTTTGCTGCGAGACATTGTTAAACGGAAGCGGGAGGAGAACCTTAAGATGGTTTGGCGCATCAATCCTGCGCACCGAAGGCTGCAGGCTCGCCTTGACCAGATGAGGAAATTCAGACGGCAGCATGAACAACTGAGGGCTGTGATTGTGCGGGTACTTAGACCCCAGGTAATCTTCAACATTGATACAGCAATTTTCCCACCTCTTGCTTCAACAACTAAAAGTGTGAAGGTGTTTTTTGAAAATAGGTTGTAGTATACACTCTTAACATAAATGACAATATTTTACTTTTTTCATGTTACTATCATCTGTACTAGTTGGAAATTTAGCACATGATTTCACTATGCATTGTTTATTTAATTTGAAGGTAACCGCTGTTGCTCAGCAATCCCAAGGCGAAGGGACTGAACCACAGGACATGAAAGTTGCAGAGGTCCTTTTTGATGCAGCCGATGCAAATGCTATCGAAGAAGTGAACCTAGCCTACGAAAATGTCAAAGAGGTCGATGGGTTAGACGTTTCCAAAGAAGGAACAGAAGCTTGGGAAGCAGCACTGAAGCGCTACGATGAGCGAATCGACAGAGTTGAAACGCGGATCACTGCCCGTCTCAGAGATCAGCTTGGCACTGCGAAAAATGCCAATGAGATGTTCAGAATCTTTTCTAGATTCAATGCTCTGTTTGTTCGTCCTCACATTCGAGGTGCTATTCGTGAATATCAAACTCAACTCATCCAGCGTGTGAAGGATGATATTGAAGCCTTGCACGATAAATTCAAAGTGCAATACCCACAGAGCCAAGCTTGCAAGATGAGTCATGTCCGTGACTTGCCTCCTGTTTCTGGCTCCATTATTTGGGCGAAACAGATTGATCGCCAGCTCACGGCTTATATGAAACGTGTGGAAGACGTTCTTGGTAAGGGCTGGGAGAATCATGTCGAAGGCCAGAAGCTGAAACAAGACGGAGACAGTTTTCGTATGAAGCTCAACACTCAGGAAATCTTTGATGATTGGGCGAGGAAAGTCCAGCAGCGTAACCTCGGTGTCTCTGGTCGGATCTTCACCATAGAAAGCACACGTGCTCGTGGCCGGAGTGGGAATGTTCTCAAATTAAAAGTGAACTTCCTGCCTGAAATCATCACCCTTTCCAAAGAAGTTCGGAATCTGAAATGGCTTGGCTTCCGTGTTCCACTTGCAATCGTCAACAAGGCTCACCAGGCCAACCAGCTCTATCCATTTGCTATCTCGTTGATTGAAAGCGTTCGTACCTATGAGAGAACCTGTGAGAAGGTAGAAGAGCGAATTTCAATATGTCTGTTAGTTGCTGGCTTGAAGAGGGAGGTTCAAGGGCTGATATCTGAAGGTATTGCCTTGGTCTGGGAGTCTTACAAACTGGACCCCTACGTACAGCGCTTGGCAGAGAGCGTTTTCAGCTTCCAGGAAAAGGTATGTTCAACTTTCACTAATCTTTATGCACTAAACTGCGCTAGTTTGTATATTGTAGACTTTTTGATGTGTTCTACTCAATTTACATGATTCAAAATTGAATGAAGTGGTTGCTGTTCTAATGTATATTAAACATTTTAGGTGGATGATCTTCTGATCATTGAAGAGAAGATAGACCTTGAAGTCCGTTCACTGGAAACCTGTGTGTACGATCACAAAATATTTTCAGAAATCCTGAACCGCGTTCAGAAAGCAGTTGATGATTTGAACCTCCATTCGTATTCCAACCTGCCAATTTGGGTCAACAAGCTTGACATTGAGGTAAGATCTGCCTTAATATAATGGTGCAAATATGGGGGGCTTTCCAAAAATGGGAAATGTCCAAATTAATGGGAACTTTGAACTAAACTGTACTTGTAGATCGAAAGGATCTTGGGAGTTCGTTTACAAGCTGGTTTGAAGGCATGGACCCAGGTTTTGTTTGGGAATTCCGATGACAAGGCTGATGTTGATATGGATACAGATGTTCCACAGACCAGTCATAAACCAGGAGGAGATCCAAAGATTAAGGTATTACTTTTGGGTGTTAGCCTCAGCTCAAATTTCTATAACATAATAACCTAAGGGCACTAAGGTGGAGGCAGAGAGAGAGAATTGGGCATCATAATGCGTTTCTGCCAGGATTTAACTGAGCACTGCTAATCTGACTTAAGTGGAATGAGATTCAAGGACAGTCTGAGGCCTGTTTTCTCCAGATTGCTGTTCTATTTCGAGGTGATTTAAGGCTGATTTCCTCATTCGTAGAATATAATACACGAGCTTCACATCACCAATCAAGTAATTTACTTGCACCCACCAATTGAAGACTGCAGATATAAGCTGTACCAAGAGCTGTTTAGCTGGAAGATGGTTGTTCTTACTCTCCCAAGGATACAAAGTCAGCGATACCAGGTAAAATGGCATTTTTCTTTAATTAATTTAAATATGCTTTTTAACACCAAATACTGTATGTTTTTATTTGTTTCAATATGTTAAAATTAAGACTGAAGGTCAGTATTTGAAATATTTATTTCATCCAAAATGTGCAAATATTGAAATGTCCAATTGTAATTCTGTAGAGTAGGAAAAATTTAATTCTTCTTTTATTGCAACTAGGTTGGTTTTCAGTATGAGCTATCTGAAGAGGAGAAGTTCTACAGGAATGCACTGACTCGAATGCCAGATGGACCAACTGCTTTGGAGGAAGCTCATGAAGCTGTCATGGGAATTGTCAGGGAGGTTGAAAAATACGTAAAGGTAAGCGTTTGAAAGGAAGCATTGCTTTCCATCAGCCATTTTCCGAATTTATTTAGTTGCGAGAACAAAATAAGCTCAGGTTTACTCTCTGCCCCAACTTTTCTTTGCAGGTTTGGCTTCAGTACCAATGTTTGTGGGACATGCAACCTGAAAACATCTACAACCGTCTGGGCGAGGATCTGAACAAATGGCAAGCTTTACTGGTCCAAATCAGAAAAGCCAGAGGAACGTTTGACAATGCAGAAACCAGGAAGGATTTTGGTCCTGTTGTTATTGATTATGGAAAGGTAAAAGGATAACCCCAAAACATTGGGACTCTTTCTAGGAATATTCCTGTTGTTCAAGTAAGACTTCGTAATAAATCTGGAGAATAAGTGAGACTGTAATATCTTTCCAAAATGTTTTCAGTTTGCCTACAAATACAGTCTACTACACTTTACAGTTAAAGCCTGTGAAGTGCTTTGAAGCTTTTTGGCAACGTGCTACATCAAATGCAAGGATTATTATTTGAATACGGTGAATGTTTGACCCACGTATCTAAAAGGTAATTCCAAGCTATGTTTGTTACTTTCTTCAAGGTACAATCAAAGGTGAATCTAAAGTACGATTCCTGGCATAAGGAAGTTCTCAGCAAATTTGGACAAATGTTGGGTCAAAACATGACTGAGTTCCATTCACAGATATCCAAGGTAAGAAAAGTCATTCAAACTGCGCTACATGTAATAACTGTAATAGAAATTTGACTGATATAAGTGAGTTTTTGCAACTACATTTGTTTTACTTTAAAAACAGTCCCGTCAAGAGCTGGAGCAACACTCAGTGGATACTGCAAGCACCTCTGATGCAGTGACCTTCATAACCTATGTGCAGTCTTTGAAACGCAAGATCAAACAGTTTGAGAAACAAGTAGATGTAAGTATTAATTGAGTTTTTTTCTTTTCCTGGGAAATGTTTCAACAAGATCAAGAATGCAAATAAGTGGCTCATGAATAAGTGTAGTAAAATCTGTCCTTTGCAAAAGCTACCGGTCACTTCTGAGCAATTGGAATTAGGAAAACCTAGCTTCCTCTCCCTTTTCCATCAGCTTTTGTTGTTGAAGTCAATTGTAGTGTTAATTGCTTTGTCACATCCTCCTGACGTGAAAGGCACTTATATCAATGTAAATTGTTTTGTAGTATCTCAACTGCTGTTATGGCTTAGATGACATAAGTTGGGACAGAATTGAAACTTCTAATATCAGTATGCTTTTCAAAAAAGCATATAAGGGACCATAAAGTCATGCAAAATCTGGCCAACTCTGCAAAGCAAAACTCTTCAATTTTGATATAGATCTCATTATTGGAACTAAAGAGCAATTATTGTACTCTGATTGGGGAATTATAGTTGGATTCTTTACACTCCTGGCTACTGAATTCAAATTATCTGTCTAAATTGTTCCTTTATTCTGATGTGAACAGTAATGTACAAGCACTTTGCCTGTGCAAAGGGCACTATATAAATGCAAAATGTTGTCACATATAAATCATTCTTTACGTTTCTATTTGAATCATTTTTCTCTTTCACTTTCTGCATCTAGCTCTATCGCAATGGCCAGCGTTTGTTGGAAAAGCAGCGATTCCAGTTTCCTCCATCGTGGCTTTACATTGATAACATAGAGGGGGAATGGGGAGCTTTCAACGACATCATGCGCAGGAAGGACAGTGCTATCCAACAACAGGTGGCTAACCTACAGATGAAGATTGTTCAGGAGGATCGTGCAGTGGAAAGCCGTACCATTGACCTCATGGGCGAATGGGAGAAAACTAAGCCTGTGGCTGTAAGTGGGTTGCAATATTACTGTGAATACTTGAATCGTACTATGAGTTAAATCAATAAAAGTCTAGCCCATTTTATTTGGACTATGTCTTATGTGTAAGGATGGTGTCTATCAAATATCTTTTTTTAATATATTTTATATATATATATATATTTAGGTATTTAAATATCCAGCTCGGGTCTGAAATGCTGTACACTGTCCAGGGTCTTGGGATGTCTTCCCGACGTGAAAGGCGCTATACAAATGTAATCTTTTTGTTGTTAGTACTGTTAACTTTTGGTTATATATTGAAACTTTGCTCTAAATATTTAGAATGTTTAGACTTTTGAAAATTATGTAACAAACAATTACAACACTTGACAAAAAATGCATTTTTTTAAAAAATTAACGTTTAAAATTGTTAGCCGTTTGAGCTTTTCAGCTAACTTGAAATAAATTTGTTATTTAGGGAAATCTTCGTCCAGAGGAAGCCTTGCAAGCTCTAACTATTTATGAAGGCAAGTTTGGTCGCCTGAAAGATGACCGAGAGAAATGCGCTAAAGCCAAAGAGGCTTTGGAGCTGACAGATACAGGACTGCTCAGTGGAAGTGAAGAACGGGTGCAGGTAATTCAAGGCTGCGTGTCTTCTCAAACCATGAACACAATCTGAATGATTCAACTAATATTAGCATTGACTCACACCAACTGCAAGTCACAAATGGTTTCCATATTTTCATTAGGTTGCTTTGGAAGAACTCCAGGACCTGAAGGGAGTTTGGTCTGAGCTGTCTAAAGTATGGGAGCAAATTGACCAGATGAAAGAGCAACCCTGGGTTTCTGTACAGCCGCGCAAGGTATGAAAAATTCACTCATGTTAGGAAAATAGATCACTGTATTTGGAAGTAGTCACTTCACAGCAGTGTTGCACTTTGGCATGGCATTTCAGTTTCAGATCATCCAACAACAAGCTTCATTAACTTTCCACACAAAATACATCAGAATTAATGTGGAATGGAGATCAATGTCCTTGGATTGAATTCAGAGATATCTTTTTTTATTGAGTCAGAGCTGGTTGTTTGATATTAAGATTTATTCAATTTTTTTTGTTTGTGAAACAGCTTCGTCAGAATTTAGATGGGCTACTGAACCAACTGAAGAACTTCCCAGCTCGTCTTCGACAGTATGCATCGTATGAGTTTGTGCAGAGACTTCTGAAGGGTTATATGAAGGTGCGGCCTTTGTTCTAAAAGTATTCTGTGAATTTAAGTGTACATTTGTTTGAAACTGAAGATTGATTGTATATGTTCTTGCAGGTGAACATGCTGGTAATTGAGCTGAAGTCTGAGGCCTTGAAGGACCGTCACTGGAAGCAGCTGATGAAACGGCTACATGTTAACTGGGTAGTGTCCGAATTAACATTGGGTCAGATCTGGGATGTAGATCTGCAGAAAAATGAGGCTATTGTCAAGGATGTGCTATTGGTGGCACAGGGAGAAATGGCTTTGGAAGAATTCTTGAAACAGGTCAGTAAACAATTCGTCATTTTGTTTTAGCTGAAGGAGAAACTAGTAGCTGTAAAAAAAAATCTACTGATTGGTCTCTGAATCAAATTGTCATTAGTTTAACTCTTACGGTATAAGTAAAAGCAGTATCATCAGCTTCTATTCTGCTTATTCCTGTTACTTTGAATGGGAGGAACCAAAGCTAAAATGTAGTAACTGAACTAGCTTTAAACTTTTGAATATGAGCAATAAAACTTTGTGTTTGTTCCTGTAAAGTTATTAATTTTTTTTGTATTTGTTACCCTTTTTTTAAACAGATTCGAGAAGTTTGGAACACATACGAACTGGACCTAGTGAACTATCAAAACAAGTGTCGATTGATCCGTGGTTGGGATGATCTTTTCAACAGAGTAAAAGAACATATCAACAGCGTATCTGCCATGAAGCTCTCTCCCTATTATAAGGCAAGTCATACGTTTAAAGAAATGTCTTCTGTAGCTTTATGCTTTGCCATTTTCCTGTTGCAGGTGAAATCCTTCCTAAATCTCATCATCATTAAGTTTTTCAGTTGATGCATTTCCACCGTTACATTTATCTTTATAATTTTGCGTTTTAATTTCTGTTCATTCATGCTTTCACTCACTTTGCAATAGGCATTACCAAATTACAAGGTATCTGTTGTGCATTTTCTACTCCTTTTTGCTACAGTAAGATTTTGTTTCTGTTCAATAAAGGGAAATTTGTAATTTTCATACCATTTGACAATCTTCCAATCTGCTTAATATTGCCTATAGAGCTCAGCAGTGACCAAGGCTTTACAAAGAACATTATTCAGCAGACTATCCCAATAGACATTATTTAGATTGCTTTCCTGTTATTTCTTAATTCCTGATCGTAAAAATTTGCTTTCGTAGTCTCCCACTCTAAAATGCTGTTATATAGCTTCTTGATTTTCCCCATCTAAATTCCAAATGGAGTCCTTTTTTGCTAATTATAACCATACTTCTAGGTTTTCGAAGAGGACGCCTTAAGCTGGGAAGATAAGTTAAATCGCATAATGGCACTCTTTGACGTCTGGATTGATGTGCAGCGTCGCTGGGTGTATCTTGAAGGCATCTTTACAGGAAGTGCTGACATTAAACACCTGCTGCCTGTGGAAACTCAGCGATTCCACAGGTAATTACACTTACACGGGTTTTAATTTTAAAGAATTTCTGAAGTCATCTTAAACTGAGTTGTGTGCTAAAAAAAAATTATGTATTGTAAACAGCATCAGCACCGAGTTCCTTGCACTCATGAAGAAAGTTTCCAAGTCTCCACTTGTGATGGATGTCCTGAATATTCCAGGGGTGCAGCGGTCACTGGAACGGCTGGCAGATCTGTTGGGCAAGATCCAGAAGGCTTTGGGAGAATACCTGGAGCGAGAAAGATCTTCTTTCCCTCGGTAGAGGCTTCAATTTATTTTGGAAGCACTGGCATGTTATGTATATTCTCTTCTGAGAAAATACAGATTGCATGTCAAGATGCAAGACATGTTTTGAGCCATTTTAATACGTTCTTTATTTTAATACAATTGCAAAATTCTTCAAAGTACATTTTAACATATTTGTTTTCATCTGCATATTTATTCTGATTTTTAGATTTACTTTGTTGGCGACGAAGACTTATTGGAGATCATTGGTAATAGCAAGAATGTGGCTAAGTTACAAAAACATTTTAAGAAGATGTTTGCTGGTGTTTCCAGTATCATTCTCAATGAAGATACCACTGTTGTCTTGGGAATTGCATCACGTGAAGGAGAAGAGGTATAATTTGATACTTCCATACAAATCTTTACATAAATTAGCATTGTAAAGTGCTACCAAGACAATTTGGTATTAACTATTGACTGATTAAACTCAAGAGTATTGGCATTGCCTAGGGAATTGTGCAGAAAAAGATTCACAAATTTTTCAGATGCAGAAATATGTATTTAATTACGTTACATCAAAGTGATAAGTCAAGAAATTACAGTATGTATATATAATATATATATTTCCTCCTCAGGTCTATTTCAAGACTCCCGTTTCGATCACAGAACACCCGAAGATCAATGAATGGTTGACCCTGGTGGAGAAAGAAATGAGGGTCACTCTCGCCAAGCTTCTGGCTGAGTCTGTCACTGAAATTGGGATCTTTGGTAAAGGCACTTCAATTGACCCAACCCACTACATTTCCTGGATTGACAAGTACCAGGTATGTATGCAGAAGAATATTTAAACTGGAATACATCCAGACTGTATCGTTTTAATTTTCCAACAGTTATTCAAGTATACAATGAAATTGTGTAACGTTTGCACAATAGTTTGAAAAAAGTAGAAATATTTAATTTCATTGGTTGGAAAGCTGTTTCTTTGCATTTATACATGAATTCTCTCTCCAGGCTCAGCTTGTCGTCCTTTCAGCTCAGATTTCATGGTCTGAAAATGTTGAAAGTGTACTGAATAACACTGTCAGTGGTGCACCTCAATCCCCACTTCCTTCAGTGTTGACCAATGTTGAAGCGACTCTAACAGTGCTAGCAGATTCTGTGCTGATGGAACAGCCACCACTCCGTAGGAGAAAACTTGAGCACTTGGTGAGTAATGGCCTTGGTTTTCTTGAGCTAATTGGTGATGAGAAAATGTTTTTTTTGCACAATTCCTTAATTATTTAATGCTTAGTATTAATGTACAGGAACTATATCCTGCTAGAAGGAGATGCATTCTGAGATTTTCTGAGCATGTTATGTAAAAACTGAAGGCAAAATGCAGAAAATTAAGAGCTCTCAAAGATTGATTTCTGGGAGGATAAAATTCCACTATACTATGGTGAAATATTAATTAATAAAACAGTCACTATTCAGGCACTGAGAATGTCTTTGTGTTACAGATCACTGAATTAGTGCATCAGAGAGATGTAACCAGAAATCTAATTAAGAACAAAGTAGATCAGCCCAAATCCTTCGACTGGCTCAGTCAAATGCGGTTCTACTTTGACCCCAAGCAAACAGATGTGTTGCAGCAGTTGTCTATACAGATGGCTAATGCTAAATTCAACTATGGTTTTGAGTACCTTGGTGTCCAGGATAAACTGGTACAGACACCCCTCACAGATCGTTGTTATCTAACGATGACACAGGCTCTGGAAGCCCGACTTGGGGGCTCTCCCTTTGGTAAGTGGTGTTCAATAAGGTGTGCGGGGAGTGGGGCGGAGATTCATTGTAAACTATTGATTTAGCTGCAGCAATACTGAAAGTAAATTCTGTATAATCACATTAACTTTTTGAGTTTTGTTTATCAAACATAAGGTTAAATCGTTGATAATGGTAATATAACTTTTTTTTGAGAACTGCACATGATCTTTTTTTTCTGAATTGTACAGTAGTAAAATAGCAAAGCTAAAATCCCAAAGCTAAATGCATGAGCTACGAAGTTACACTTTTCATACTCGTAAATGTTTGTCCCACTTTAGGTCCTGCTGGTACTGGAAAAACTGAATCAGTCAAGGCTCTCGGACACCAGCTTGGACGCTTCGTTCTGGTCTTCAACTGCGATGAAACCTTTGATTTCCAGGTGCTGTGCCTATTTACAAAAATACATGGTCCTGTTGCAGTCTCTAAAGCGTATTTTATTAATGCACATGATAGTTACCATACAAGGCCATCAAGACGTCCCTCTTTGACCGCACGCTTCCATTCATTTGGTTCGTTTGTATTAATATACTTTCTCTCCCACCTCCTGACAGGCTATGGGTCGTATCTTTGTGGGTCTCTGCCAAGTGGGAGCCTGGGGTTGCTTTGATGAATTTAACCGTCTTGAAGAGCGTATGTTGTCGGCTGTGTCCCAGCAAATTCAATGCATCCAGGAGGCACTCCGCGAGCACTCCAACCCCAACCGTGACCGAAGTAAGGCATATCAGAAATAATGTACAATTGCCCTGGCTTGGGAATACTATTGTACCACATGTTCTTGTCTGCAGATGGGTATGGCCAATTGGGCTGAGTGAAAAATTGCTGTTGAACAGCCATTGCACTTTTATGATATTTACTGAGGAATTCCAAACGTCAGATTATTTTTTAGAATTCTAAAATTGGGAATGTAATTCACCCATCCACCATTTTATTTCCTTAGTTTACATTTAATTTCAAACTTCTAGTGCTCAGTTGACCAGTGAGGAAGTATTCAGTGCTAACAATTTGAATAGTTTAACAAGTATGATTCATTAGCTACCTTCTCTTAGAATAATGTATACGTCATGTTTATAATGGAAAAATGTATATATTCTATCTTCACGTTATCTCCCCAACCAGGATGAAAGTTAATAAAAAGAACTATTGCTGAAAAAATAGACTCTTGAGAGTTTGGCTGCATTGCATTGCTTCCTGCTATGCTGTAGGACCTTATCACAGTTTTATTCTACTCCTACTATCCATTTGCTAATGTCACTTTTGACACTTTTTTTAGAAAAAAATGTGCTAGGTATATTATCAGAGGAAAGCTGTTATGCTATTGAGGCTTGGAAGTATTTCTTAATTCAATTGTAAGTGTAAATTGATCTTGTTCTTTGATTATAATTTATAGTAAAGACAGGTAATTGTGGAATCAAAATGGATATTTATGGTGATTCAGTGAAGCAATAAGACTCCTAATGTGAGCACTATATTTTGCTTTCAGGTCACTGTATCACCACTGAGTTATTGAACAAGCAAGTAAAGGTCCGAGCAGATATGGCCGTCTTCATTACAATGAATCCTGGTTATGCTGGTCGATCCAACCTTCCAGATAACTTGAAGAAACTTTTCCGTAGCTTGGCAATGACCAAACCAGATCGTCAACTTATTGCACAGGTTATGTTGTATTCCCAAGGTTTCCGTACTGCTGAAGTCCTGGCAAACAAGATTGTTCCATTCTTCAAGTAAGCATCTTTGACTTGACTCTTACCATGTTTTAGAGCTAGGCTTCTGTGAATAGCTTTGGATTTGTAACAACAGAGGGAACTTCTGAAAGCTGCATTTTGATAAGAACATACATTATGAAGCTCTGCATTGAAGATGCATATATTGTAACTTAGCATACTTTTTCCTTTTTCAAGGCTATGTGATGAGCAGTTGTCCTCCCAGAGCCACTATGACTTTGGTCTGCGGGCCCTGAAGAGCGTGTTAGTGAGTGCAGGTAACGTAAAGCGAGAGCGGATTCAGAAAATAAAGAAGGAGAAGAGAGAACGTGGCGAAGATGTTGACGAGGCGGATATTGCAGAGAATTTGCCTGAACAAGAGGTCAGTGGGCAGCTGGGCTTTTATTTGAGTGTTTGCATTCAACTTAATTTACCAAATGAACCATTTACTAACTAGAACCAAATGTTATTCTAATTTTGCCCTAATTAACCTATGATTGGTTATAGCATTTTCTATTCCATGATTTAGGTTATTTGTTTTTATTTCTCTAAGTTTAGTCCCACTATAGTTAGTTTAATTGACTTGGAAATGTTTAATTTTTTATACTTAAAACACATTTTTTCTTTTGTAAAATGTGTACAAGGCTTTGACCAAAGTTTAAATACAGTTTATGTAGACAATTTATTTTTGAAATGACTCTCTTGTCACACAATAACCTTTTTATCTTCATCTTTAGATCCTGATCCAGAGTGTTTGTGAGACAATGGTGCCCAAACTGGTTGCGGAAGACATTCCACTGCTCTTCAGTCTTTTGTCTGATGTATTCCCTGGGGTACAATACCACCGTGGAGAAATGACTGCATTGCGTGAAGAGCTGAAGAAAGTTTGTCAGGAAATGTACCTTACCTATGGTGATGGAGAAGATGTTGGTGGCATGTGGGTCGAGAAGGTAAGCTGTAAAACTTTTTGATGGGGTTTTGTTGAGGTATAACTCAGTATATTTTGGTCCATTTAACTTGATCTGTTTCTTAGGTGCTTCAACTGTATCAAATCACTCAGATAAACCATGGCTTAATGATGGTTGGGCCATCAGGCAGTGGAAAGAGCATGGCCTGGCGGGTCTTACTGAAGGCCCTTGAAAGACTTGAGGGAGTGGAAGGAGTTGCACACATCATTGATCCCAAAGCTATTAGCAAAGACCATCTCTACGGAACACTAGACCCAAACACCAGAGAATGGACTGATGGGTTGTTCACACATGTGCTTAGAAAGTAAGTTGCTGGTCTGGAACAATTGGGAATTATTTATATTTGTGTAAGAGCTTGCTTGCACTTTCAACACCATGTGTTTCCATGAAATGAATTTGAAATTCTAAAGTAATTGCAAGTGAGATCTTTCAGTCAGTAGATTAAAGTAAACTGTTGTTCTTAGGATTATTGACAACGTTCGAGGCGAACTGCAGAAACGCCAGTGGATCATATTTGATGGCGATGTGGACCCTGAATGGGTAGAGAATTTGAATTCTGTGTTGGATGATAATAAGCTGCTCACCTTGCCCAACGGAGAGCGTCTCAGCCTGCCACCTAATGTAAGCTTATTTTCAACCACTTGAAAGGAAGTATGTGGCACAGAAGTTGAGCCTAGCCTGATGCACAGGATATGCAAAGGCTTCTGTGAAGCGCTTTGGGACGTCCTGACGTGAAAAGCGCTATATCAAATGCAAGGATTATTATTATTGAGTCCTCAAATATTTTTGTCTCAACTTCTAATAGGTGCGGATTATGTTTGAAGTGCAAGACCTGAAATATGCTACATTGGCCACTGTGTCCAGATGTGGTATGGTATGGTTCAGCGAAGATGTGCTCAGCACCGATATGATCTTCAACAACTTTATAGCCAGACTGCGCAATATTCCACTAGATGAAGGGGAAGATGAGGCCCAGCGTAGACGTAAAGGCCAAGAGGATGAGGAAGAGGCTGCTTCTCCAATGCTCCAGGTATAGTAGATATCCTTCCTGTCACGGAGTAGTTTGTGTCTGTAAAATGCCAACCAAATCTGTATGAAGCTACAGTACTATTAATGGTGAAGGCAAGAGCCTTATTATCACCCAGATGGTGACTTTTTGCAAGTGTTAAGTACCTGTATACATTTCCTTGTTTTCAGTAGCACTTTGCAAAGATATCATTTGTGTCCATTGCCTTCTTCTGATTTAAGCTGAACAATATTAGATGTGTCTTGTTACTTTTTGCTCTTTTTTTATTAAGACATTTCTAGTTACGTTAAGTAAATTCCATAAACTAATGTTGATTTAAATGGGTTTAATTACAGATCCAGAGAGATGTAGCGACTGTTTTGCAACCATACTTCACTTCAAATAGCCTGATTATCAAAGCAGTGGAACAAGCTTCTAAGATGGAACATATAATGGATTTTACACGACTGCGTTGTCTTAGCTCTCTATTCTCCATGATGAACCAAGCTTGCCGCAATATTGCCCTCTATAACGCCAATCATCCTGATTTCCCAATGCAAATTGACCAGTTGGAGAGCTACAGCCAGGTATGATTTAGGGAATGCTTAAACATTTGTCTTTAGTTTTGCTTTGTGCTGAAGTATGTTTCACTAACAATTTCACGAATTTTTACTTCGATAGAAATACCTGATATATGCCATTCTGTGGTCGATCTCTGGTGATTCTCGTTTGAAGATGAGAGCAGAACTTGGTGAATACCTCAGACGAATTACCACCATTCCATTGCCAAGCACTCCCAACATGCCCATCATTGACTTTGAGGTAAGGAATCTATTTCTGATGTGCCAATTTTAATTTTATTCATTGGATTTCCTTCAAGATGACTGAATGCACAGTCAAAGAGGCAGTCTTGAGATTTCACTTTGTTGTAACTTTTTTAAAAGGCTCTGCTGGTACAAGGAGGCTGAAATTCCTTCCAGATTTAGACTTAATGTTCTAGTTCAGAGTCATTCACAAGCCTCACGCAAGAATTGAGATTATGTATTCTTTTCACCCCTCTCTCTGGCACTTTTCTAAGACAGTGCAGTTGTGATTAATAATTTACATGGAGGAATAGAGACACTGAGTGGTGTTCTACCACTCCATAGTATAGCAGGCTTGGAAGTGGGGTGGGGCGCAGGAGTTTAGACATGCTACACTATTATGTTTTTGTATTAATTTTAGGTCTCCATCAGTGGAGAGTGGATTCCTTGGCAGTCAAAGGTACCACAGATTGAAGTTGAGACTCACAAAGTTGCTGCTCCAGATGTTGTAGTACCAACCTTGGATACAGTTCGCCATGAAGCCCTTCTCTACACATGGCTGGCTGAGCATAAACCGTTAGTCTTATGTGGGCCACCTGGTTCTGGCAAGACTATGACCCTGTTCAGTGCACTGAGAGCACTGCCAGACATGGAGGTAAAATAACTAACCTTTCTAAATTGTTCATGTAGCTTCAAGCACCAAAAGTGTAATTTCTATCATAAATCTTTGTTATAATTCAGATTTGCTTGCTTTTCACTAATAATTAAGTAATTTTTTTTCATACTTTGATCTCTATTGTGTTGACAGGTTGTAGGTCTGAACTTCTCCAGCGCAACTACACCTGAGCTGGTTCTGAAAACGTTTGACCATTACTGCGAATACCGCCGAACACCAAACGGAGTGGTTTTGGCACCCGTTCAGCTCGGCAAATGGCTTGTGCTCTTCTGTGACGAAATCAACCTTCCAGACATGGACAAGTATGGGACTCAGAGAGTTATATCCTTCATTAGACAGGTTGGTAGGAAGAGCTGATAAAGAAAATTGCTTGATAGCAGTGGGCGCAGTTGATTCAAGCATGCTCATTGTTGGCTGTCAAATTACAGATGGTGGAACATGGTGGTTTCTACCGCACTTCAGATCAGACCTGGGTTAAATTGGAACGAATCCAGTTTGTCGGAGCTTGCAATCCACCGACTGACCCAGGAAGGAAACCACTTTCACACAGGTCAGCAGCTTCACATTCTACTGCCTTACAATCGTCACTATGGGATAAAGTTACTGTCATCAAATCCTTTTTTACGCTGGATCAACAAGATAGCAGTGCTCAAAGTAACACGACCAAAGATGTATTTGAGCAACTTATTAGTGCTATATGCGTTCCATGAGTGAATATGTTTTTTAAACTCGTCTGATTGGGTTCTTTTTGGGTAATAATAGTTGTAAAGGCTCAATGACGTGATAAGGTGCTATATTAATTGCAAGGATTATTATTATCGCAATTAAAATGACTGGAGTTCCTAAACCATTTGCATCGTTTTGGTATATTAGGTTCCTACGTCATGTGCCTGTTGTGTATGTGGACTATCCAGGCGCAGCTTCTCTTACACAAATTTACGGGACATTCAACCGTGCTATGCTGAGACTCATCCCTTCCCTGCGAACATTTGCAGAACCTCTCACTGCAGCCATGGTGGAGTTCTACACTATGTCACAGGTACTGTCTTCGCTCTCAAATGGCAATATAGAGAATTAATTTATCTTAGAATTAATTTTTACTAGTTTAGGAGGGAGCAAATTCTAAATTAATAAATTCACTCTCCACATATGAATAATCTAGAAAGTAAAGTTGATCTTTCAACTTCGACTCTGGGTCTGCAGGATTCTGACACATTGTATTACTACAAATGTGTAATGTAGTGTCTTATATCCTGCAATTATCCACTCTTCGCCACTGAAAGAGATTTAACAAATTACTTCCATATAGAAATTAAAGCACAGTTTTCAGCATTTTACTTGATTTATACCAGATTCTCAAGAAAACTTAGATGGCTTAGGTGATGTGGAAATTGAGTTCTATTTAGTAATCCGTATGTCATTATTTTGCAGGAGCGCTTCACCCAAGACACCCAGCCTCATTACATTTACTCTCCCCGTGAAATGACACGTTGGGTGAGAGGCATCTTTGAAGCCTTGAGGCCATTAGAAACTCTGGCTGTGGAAGGTTTAATCAGGATCTGGGCACATGAGGCACTACGCTTATTCCAAGACAGGTTTGTATTTTAAATGTTCTATATTTTCATTGATTTACACCAAAATAGGATGACTGAAGGCAGCATGTTAATATTCTTGTTGCATCTGCTTTCAGACTTGTGGAAGATGAGGAGAGGCAGTGGACTGATGAGAATATTGATGTCGTGGGACTGAAACATTTCCCTAATATCGACAAAGAGAAAGCTCTGACAAGACCAATTTTGTACAGCAACTGGCTCTCAAAGGTATGATTAGCTGATAGGGATTTGAATTACAATCATTTTAAGGAGGCGTTTCATGCTTGAATTGGTGGTCATTCTCGTTTAACTATGGCTAGTAAGCTGACAATGAAACAGCAGTATATAACTCAGCTCTTTCGAATACTGTAGAAGTTGTATCTTGTATTTTTAGGATTATATTCCAGTGGACCAGGAAGAGCTCCGAGATTATGTCAAAGCCAGACTCAAAGTTTTCTATGAGGAAGAGCTGGATGTCCCCTTGGTGTTGTTTAATGAAGTTTTGGATCATGTACTCAGAATTGACAGGTATGGAACTATGTAAATATATTTATTCCTTTTCAGTAAAGTCCATTAAAACGTAATGTGGTATTCTTGTTTGTAATCTTTTAGAATAACCCACTGCATTGCTTCTTAAATCTGTCATTTTAGGTCATATGGAAGTTTGTTAATAATACAATGCTTAGAAAATTACGTTTGTTCAAGAAAGCCAATGCTTTTAAAATGCTGAATTTGCTCCTCTAACTTCATTTTTTTAGGATATTCCGTCAACCACAAGGTCATTTGTTGCTTATTGGAGTCAGTGGTGCCGGGAAAACCACCCTCTCTCGTTTTGTTGCCTGGATGAATGGCCTCAGTGTTTATCAAATAAAGGTTAGTGCCCATATTTTCCCATGATGCTGATAAGCTATGGAACTAGTGTGTAATGCTGTATATGTATATATATATATATTTTTTTGTATATATTTATATATTTTTAAAAATGAACTTTTGTAATTTTAATGCTTGAATGTTTATCTTTACAGGTTCATAGGAAGTATACAGGGGAGGACTTTGATGAAGATCTGAGAACAGTATTGAGGCGTTCAGGTTGCAAGAACGAGAAGATCGCTTTTATCATGGATGAGTCCAACGTATTAGATTCCAGCTTCTTGGAACGTATGAACACCCTGTTGGCCAACGGTGAGGTAAATATTTGAAATGGTATTTGCTGCAAACGAATGGACCGACCTACAATAAAAATTGATTACATTTCTAACAGTTAGAAATAAGAACGAATAGTATGGTGGCAGTTTTGTAAAACATTCTGTCCAAATAGTTTGGCTCAGCCATTAACAAAGTGATCTAGAATAAACAAAGCACATCCAATTTGTATGAGCAAGTGGAACTCAACAGTAGACTATTGAGTTGAGCTAGAATGCTAGAGAGAACTAACATGAGAAATAGGGTTGTGTGAGGGCTAAATTAATCCTTTGACAAAAGATGATCCAGCCATATTTGGAGTCCTGGGGTTTTAAACTGGTTTTGTCTAGTGCTCTAGTGCTAGTGATTTTTTTGCTTAAACTGTGCAGGTGCCTGGGCTGTTTGAAGGAGATGAGTATGCTACCTTAATGACACAATGTAAGGAAGGTGCTCAGAAGGAAGGCTTGATGCTGGATTCTCATGAAGAGCTGTACAAGTGGTTCACTGGTCAGGTTATCCGCAACCTTCATGTTGTGTTTACCATGAATCCATCATCTGAGGGATTGAAGGACAGAGCTGCTACTTCTCCAGCTCTCTTCAACAGGTAAATACTGTTTTGAGTACTGTATTTACTGATACCTCGTAGTTGTAATACCTATTTTGTGTGGTTAATTACTTTTAGCAATGTGATGTACTGAGGAATGCAGTACCCTCTTTTTACCATAGAGAAGAACGGTACTAGAGGAAGGGAAACAATCATAAGAATTGGACCGTTCTTACTTTCCCAAAAAAGTAGCTTTTGAAATCGCAACTTTTTCCACCTTCCCTGAAGTGTTGAGCATCCCTCCAAGTATTGACTGGTGACCTTTCCAGTAAAGAAATTATTACCTGGTACTGTATTTCAGCAGCCTTCTGAGCTACCTAAACAGAATTGATTTGATGATCATTGTCCAACATCTATTACAGAGGTTAACGTTTGCCAATAAAGGTATCTTGTAACAGGCAGAATAAATGTTTACAATCTGAATTGTAAATTGCTCCTTCCTCCCCACCTAAAATGAATTATTTTTATCCTCTGAGTAAAAGTATTACTCTCCCTGGGAAATTAATTTTAAGGGTTAAATTGTATTTGTATTTTTGTATAGAATTATTATTGTCTTTCTATAAAAATTAGAATCTTCCAGAAAATATAATTGTATTAGTTGGAAGTGACGTATTGCACTTTGTCTAACTCTTATAGGTGTGTATTGAACTGGTTTGGAGACTGGTCTACTGAAGCCCTGTATCAAGTTGGCAAAGAGTTCACAAGCAAAATGGACCTTGAAAAGCCCAACTATGTTGTACCTGACTACATGCCAATTGTGTATGACAAGCTTCCCCAGCCACCATCCCACAGAGAGGCTATTGTCAACAGCTGTGTCTTTGTTCATCTAACACTGCACCAGGTGAGCACCTAATATATAAATTAGACATTTTTTTGTACTTTCATTTACTTTGGGTTCGAGAAAGGAGAAATGTCCAGGCTTATTCTAACATGAGAAGGATACCCCCACAGGGAATTAAACTGCATCTTAAAGTTGGATAAGATCAGTTCTGGATGGATCTAGCCAATGTAGATGAATCCAAGTGCCAACATGATTTAAATGGCATTGTGGTATATATGTATTGCTTTGTGTTAATGGTTTCAAAAACATTGCCTTTAGTTGCTGTTATATTTAGATATTTGAGAGTCCAGACTTGCTTTTTCGATATATCTGGAATGCAGAATTTTTCATTTTCTTTGAAGGCAAATGCTCGACTGGCAAAACGTGGAGGAAGAACAATGGCCATCACTCCTCGCCATTATCTGGACTTCATAAATCACTATGCCAACATGTTCAATGAAAAGCGCAGTGAGCTGGAGGAGCAGCAGATGCATTTGAACGTTGGTCTGCGAAAGATTAAGGAGACAGTAGACCAGGTACTATCAGAAACATGATGTCTTTAAAGTGGGATTTTCTCTTTGTTGTTGAGCAAGAACAAAATATAGGTAGGAGGAACATGCTAAATTTAACTTTATATTTTAAACCGTATGTTTATTTGTGATGGTAACCCCAACAGAACTACATTTTACAAAAAAACACAGGGTTGTTTTCCAGGTGCTTGCAGAAAGACCTGTTTTGCTGCTAATTATTTTTGCAATCCAACCTTGTCACACCTAACTGTCAGCAGCTTATACCCGTGGCAGCGCCCAGGGATGACAGCAGGCACAGTCTAAACCAGCATTCATTTGGTCAATCTTCCACAACATAAAATGAAGAAACAGTCTCCAGGCTAGAGTAAGGAAAGATGAGAGGTCTTGATTTTGGATTACTCTTGTAAATATAGCATTTACAAAAACAATGAAATGTGCAAAGCTGATTTTACTTACCGTAAATCTACTATGCCTTTGTTTTTATATTAAAAAGCACCTTTTTGTATTTTGTATCCACATTTAAGTATCCGGTTGGAAAGTAAACATTTTAAGCTAAAATTATTGCAAAAAACATGGGTGGAACCTGTCTAGCCTACCACTGATAACAACATTCAATTGATAGTTATTTGCAATGACATTGACTTGTACAGTAAAAGTTCTTCAATGCTGTAAGAATCTGTTAATATAGGCTTATTAGCTAGATGAGTATTTTATTTCGCAAAGCCTTCATTGAAAAAACTTTTCTCTTTGTATTAGGTTGAAGAATTGCGACGTGACTTAAGAATCAAGAGCCAGGAACTGGAGGTTAAAAATGCAGCAGCTAACGATAAGTTGAAGAAAATGGTGAAAGATCAGCAAGAAGCTGAAAAGAAAAAGGTAGTATTGTGACACGTATTTTTCCAGATGTGTGTTCATTGACTGAACAAGATCATCTGATAGTGCTTATTTTCAATGAGAACCATCTCTAATAGCAAAATTAGTATATTTCACAGTGTTTTGTTCACGTCAAACTTTTCTTTTAGGTTATGAGTCAAGAAATTCAGGAGCAGCTGCACAAGCAACAAGAAATCATTGCAGACAAGCAGATGAGAGTAAAGGAAGATCTGGACATGGTAGAGCCTGCAGTCATTGAGGCTCAGAATGGTTAGATCAATTGTTTTAAATTTGACTTTAAACATATACATATAAATTTAATTATATAATTGTATTTAAGTGTTCAGTTGTTTATTTTTGTATTTTGGAACTATATCCAGTTTGTAATATTCTGTCTTTTAAATGACTGCCTTAACTGATCTTTTCTGTTTTTCTCATTTCTTTCAATTTTCTATCTCTCTTCCTCTTCACTTACCTTCACTTCCTCTTGCTGTTTACTTGGACTCCGGCCTGCGGTACTGGTTGGAATTAGCTGTAAAATCAATCAAGAAACAGCATTTGGTAGAGGTTCGTTCAATGGCAAACCCGCCAGGTGCAGTGAAGCTAGCACTCGAGTCCATCTGTCTGCTCCTGGGCGAAAGTACAACTGACTGGAAGCAGATCCGATCGATCATTATGAGGGAAAACTTCATCCCAACCATTGTAAATTTTTCAGCTGATGAAATCAGGTGAATAATGGGGTGTACGCAGCTGCTGGAGGTCAAAAAAAGGAAATTGTTCCACAGATTGGCAATAGGATCAAAATGGGATCAAAATTTTCAAGTTACCTTGAAACGAGAATCAGTGGTGGAAACATAATATTTTGCTGTAGTGTAGATTTGAGTGAACATTAAAAAAACACCCTGCCAATCTTGCAAATAAAGCAAATTTTCTTCCTCAGCTCCCAGCAACTGTTACACACCCTTATCCTTTTGCATGTCCATTTAAAGCCCCTTTCTTTTCACCCCTCTATTAGCTGTGAGCTCTATAAAGAAGCAGCATCTTGTTGAAGTGAGAGCCATGGCCAATCCACCCGCTGCAGTAAAACTCGCTTTAGAATCAATCTGTCTCCTGCTGGGTGAGGAGACAAATGACTGGAAAAAGATCAGACAAGTTATTATCAGAGATAATTTCATCACCAGCATTATCAACTTTAATACTGAAGAATTAAGGTATTATTTTTATTTAAAATCACATTTTTCACGCACTTATTTTTGCAGCTCTTCATTCTATGCATCACGTGGTTCATGTGAATGGCACCTTTTTGCAGCACAATCAGTTTGCGATGCTGACTTCACAGAAAGGCTTTTATTGTTAACGTTGATCTATCTTTTTTCCATCAGTGACGTGATTCGAGAGAAGATGAAGAAGAACTACATGTCCAATCCAAGTTACAACTATGAAATTGTCAACCGAGCATCTTTGGCTTGTGGGCCAATGGTGAAGTGGGCTATTGCACAGGTGAGTAACACATGGTACCAAATGTTTTTAATGGAAAAATAACTTGTTTTGGAACAATGTGCAGCAGGCAAATGATTGGATTGGTTTCAGTTAATGGACAAATGCTTTGCTGCTGTTAACTTGTTCTTCTCTTGTGCCTTCCATGTGCCACTTAGCCAAGTTACCAACTGAGAGAATGGCAGAGTGAAGATTTGAGGATCAGCCTTGACCTTCTCACACCTTAGAAGGCGCACTACCTCTGGGAGTCTAGTTTCTTTTTGTTTCAGATGATTCTCTTGTGTAGCTGCTTTCATGTCCTGTTTTTTTTTTTTGTAGCTCAATTATGCTGATGTGTTGAAGCGAGTGGAGCCTCTGCGCAATGAACTACAGAAACTTGAAGATGACGCAAAGGAGAACCAACAGAAGGCTGATGGAGTGGAGCAAATGATCCGTGACCTGGAGAATAGCATCGCTCGCTACAAAGAGGAGTATGCAGTTTTGATCTCTGAAGCCCAGGCCATTAAGGCTGATTTAGCAGCTGTGGAAGCCAAGGCAAGTGACTGCAAGTGATGTTTTTACTTCAGCGGCCTTTCTCTGTATAAGTAATGATTCGTTCCGAAGTGAGTTCGGAGTTTAAAAAGAGTTCAGGCTGATGGGTTTGATCTCCTAGAGTGAAAGGAGCTCTCAGTGAAGAGCGGCAGTTTTGTGTTGTGGAGTTACATGCACAAGGAACCAAATCAAGATCATAGTCCCCTTGAGTACAACCCATAATACTGAAAAGTCTTCATTGTTTGATTATCATAGGTGAACCGAAGTACAGCACTGCTGAAGAGTTTGTCTGCTGAACGAGACCGCTGGGAAAAGACAAGTGAAACATTTAAGAATCAGATGGCTACGATTGCTGGAGATTGTTTGCTGTCAGCTGCTTTCATGGCGTACGCAGGATACTTTGATCAGCAAATGCGTCAAAATCTGTTCACAACTTGGGCGCATCACCTACAACAAGGAAACATTCTGGTAATTCTATTGTGTTTTGAAACCTTCAGATTGAATCACGGGAAAAACTTTGTATCCAATGTTCAAACTACTGATGTTCACACAGCTTGTATAGCTGCCTACCAACATTGGCAATCTTACGTCTGATATGGAGGACAAGCAGACTACTAAAATATCTAGAACGTACATTACAGGCTGGTAGCAGCTAGTATAATAAGATCATTAAATCTGATGGCAGAATTGCAATGGGAGAATGTACAGCCATCCAGTGTTTGCTTGTTGAGTGTTCCTGAGCTGAATAACTGCTTCTGTCTTGGGGCCAAAATCTAACTAAATTGGCATATTAGATTGCTTCCAGTAATTGCGAATTCTAATGAAGTCATTATACTGTTCTGTACATTCTAACTATTAAACAAGGAAAATGTTGATAACTCCTAGGAATTCACTCATTTGCGACACCCACTTAGTATTTCTGACCTTTTTGTGCTTCAAAAATTGACCTAATGACACACTTGAGGTGACACCTCTTTGATAGTAAAAGTGTTTTGCCATAAGCTAACTGTTGCCTTTTAATTTTTCAGTTCCGTACAGACATTGCAAGAACAGAATACCTTTCTAATGCTGATGAGCGGTTGCGCTGGCAAGCAAATTCTCTACCTGCGGATGATCTGTGCACAGAAAATGCTATCATGCTAAAACGGTTCAATAGGTGGGTTTCTTTGAAGGTTTAATTGCTTGATGTTGCTTTGGGACAGAATAATCGCATCATTAATCAGAAATGGGACATTTAATGGGAAATCATACATGATTTTTCTGTCAATGTGATTCACTTACTGTGTCTGGGTAACAATCTGTGTCGCCACAATGTTAGATCCTGAACCTTGTAAACTTTATATATGTGTAACTTGCATAATTACCAAAGATCTATTTGTTTTATATAGATGTTTAAAAAGCCAATATTGTTGAAGACACATTTTAATCTTCTACCTCCCTCCCTTTTCTCGTGCAGTGACTGTTGATGGGTTTGGGTACATTTATTGCTATTGTTAACAAGGGGCTATTCCCATTTAAGGTCACACAGAACGTGCCAGCAGGTGTTCCGTTGTGGCGTATTGCATCCAAATCCAACCCTATGATTACACAGCACAGACCCTGGGTCAGCACAGACCCTGGATCAAATCTGTGTCCTTCATGTTCTGTGTCTGTCCCACATTTTAATCCCCTCGGGTGCTCAACCATTTTCTCAACATTCAAGAGCCATATATTTGTAAGTTAGTTGTCTTACTGTTGATTTTTAATGTTGCATTTGCACTTCACTAAAATAGAATCTCTTTACAATAAAGGTACCCATTGATTATTGACCCATCTGGACAGGCCACTGAGTTCATCTTAAATGAGTACAAGGAGCGTAAGATTACCCGGACCAGCTTCTTGGACGATGCTTTCAGAAAGAACTTGGAGAGCGCGCTGCGATTTGGTAACCCACTACTTGTCCAGGTCTGTATTTTTATAGTAAAGCTGCTTTGTGAAAACATATTTATACCTTTTTGAATGCAGTACTTATTTTGCCCATGTATTTAATTTAATGTAGGATGTTGAAAGTTATGATCCGATCCTGAATCCTGTGCTGAACCGTGAGGTTCGCAGGACTGGGGGTAGAGTGCTCATCACTCTTGGCGATCAAGATATCGACTTGTCACCATCATTTGTCATTTTCCTCTCCACCAGAGATCCAACTGTAAGTAACTGAAGTTCATTTAGTTCTTTCTCCGGTGATATTCTTTTAGTTTCTAAATGATTTTTAAAAGCTTCAAATTTCGTAACCTACAACCTCCAATATAATATTGTTTGAAGTTTCTTTTAAAGTAAAGTCCTGATTAATTATCTGCAAGATGTATACTTGTTGTGATGTGTTGTTTTTTAAGTGAAATACTTACCAGTTTATATATTATTTTGCAGGTTGAATTCCCACCAGATCTTTGCTCCCGTGTTACATTTGTCAACTTCACAGTAACTCGGAGCAGTTTGCAGAGCCAGTGTTTGAATGAGGTGCTGAAGGCGGAGAGACCAGATGTGGATGAGAAGCGCTCAGACCTGTTGAAACTGCAAGGTAGGCTTTCAGTGACGACAACTTAATTATCTTTTAATTGGAGCTACAGTTTTTCTAATCTGACTTTTAGTTTAATAAGCTCTTAATATTTGTGCGAAACTGACAATGGACATGGGATTGCTCCTATTATTGTATAAATTGAACCTTCCTCCAGATTTTTGTGACCCTTAAATCTATGGGTGGTTACCCGAGAGTTTCAATATTTGACCCTTTTCTAACAGGTGAATTCCAGGTCCGTTTACGCCAGTTGGAGAAGTCATTGCTTCAAGCATTGAACGAGGTTAAAGGCCGGATCTTGGATGATGATACCATCATCACGACCCTGGAAAATCTGAAGAGGGAAGCCGCGGAGGTCACCAGGAAGGTTGAAGAAACGGATATTGTTATGGCAGAGGTAGAAGCTGTATCACAACAGTACTTGCCACTCTCTACAGCTTGCAGCAGCATCTATTTCACTATGGAGGCTCTAAACCAGGTATAGTAACATTTACATCTGTACCATCTAAACCCAAGAAAATCTTTGTACAGACTAACATTTTATAGATCCGATTTGTTTTGATTGAAGTAAATCTCAAGTTATATTTTTGCAGTAGCAACAGTTATAACTAAGTGGGTCTTGCGTGATTTAAAATACCTTGTGGTAAATGATGGAAATCTGACAATCTTTGTCAGAAAATGAGATGCTTTTATTATGAGCGAACAATCTGAACTAGTTGCTGATCTCTCTTCTTGAATAGATCCATTTCCTGTACCAGTATTCACTTCAGTTCTTCCTGGACATTTATCACACTGTTCTGTATGAGAATCCAAACTTGAAAGGAGTTACAGACCATACACAACGCCTGTCTATTGTCACTAAAGATCTATTTCAGGTATCTATGAAAAACAATCACAAAGATGTAATTGTGGAACATTGAGGAAAGTTGGAAAAGCTGTTTTAATTACGTGCAATGACATTGTCCTCTGTCAACAGGTTGCATTTAACAGAGTGGCACGTGGCATGTTACACAGTGATCATATCACCATTGCAATGCTATTGGCTAAGATCCGCCTGAAAGGTGTTACTAGGTAAAGATTTATATATTATTTATCATATAAGATTTCTGCTTATATAAGATATATATATATCATATAAGATTTCTGCTCTTTTAATTAGCTAGCTTCTTTTCAAGACCTGCTTGTGTCATTTTGTACCCACCTAATGTCAAAATACCTCTCTGAAATTGGAATAGCTGATCAAGACCTGTTTTTAAAGGCAACTAGATAGTTCAATATGTTGTGCTTCATTTGGCACAATATTTGTAGTCTTCCATCAATAGGTTTTTAATGAGTTGCTATTGATAGACTTATTACCTTTTTAGGTCTATTTTTGAACTGATCACCTATTTTTCACAGCTCTAAGACCTCAACTGAAAGGCTATTGATGAATGCACATTCAAATCTGTTTCAGTGAACCATCGTATGACTCCGAGTTCCAGCACTTCCTCCGAGGCAAAGAGATTGTGCTGAATGGTTCATTGTCAAAGGTACAGTGTCTCACTACAGAACAAATAGAGAGCATGGAGAGGCTCAGCCGCTTATCTGCCTTTGCAGACATCATTTCCAAAGTCCAGATGGATAATGTAAGTAACATTTTAGAATTTTAGACTTTATATTTTTCAATGCACCTGTCTTGGATCAGTAAAGTTCTCCCTTCAGAAAATAAGGGTGCTTAGAAGCACTTATGGATCAATAAGTGCTGAAGTTTATCCCTATTGATCCATAAGTATGAGCGAGTAGTAAATGTATGGAACAGGCTCCGTTGGAAGAAGAAAGTGTCGACTCAATCAAGAGCAAATTAGATTTCTGTTAGGAAATAATATCTCGGGATACAATGTATAGTTTGGGATCCAACATGTCACGAGACTGCCAGGATGGTGGAAGACAAACTGGATGTACCTTGGTCTTCTTTTGCCTCGCAAATTCTTATGTTCCTAAGTTGTCAAGATTCCCATTTCAAAACTGCTGACTTCATTTTCCCTTCTTAAGGAAAAGCTTACTTGTGTGTCCTTTGCATTCCTAGAGTTTCACCCCTGTCTCTAACTTGCTCTTTCTTTTCAAGACCTGCTTGTGTCATTTTGTACCCACCTAATGTCAAAATACCTCTCTGAAATTGGAATAGCTGATCAAGACCTGTTTTTAAGTGATTCTGACATTTTTGGCTCATTTGAAACATTTTTTATGCAGCAATTTAACATCTGGCTGGAGAGCAGTTCACCTGAACAGACTGTACCTTATCTGTGGATTGAAGAAAACCCTTTCAGTAAGTAAATAAAATGTAATCTATAAATTTGACAATATTGAGAAAAAGGCATTCATTGCAACCTAAATATCCAACGGTGCTCTTGGCAAGTATCAGTCTGCTTAACATTAACTTGCTCTGCCTCACCATCGGTGGACAAACTGTTAGTTTTTTTGCCCACTTTCTAGAAATCCATCCCAGAATCTCCACTTGCCCCTTCCCTCTTCACCGTTAAAACCTATTTTCAGGACTTATCTCTTCGACCATGTATATGGCCACTTTCATCCCCAAACTCTCACCTCACTCCCCACCAGCTCAGGCTCCCAAATATATCATTGTAAATTATTATTATTGTTGTGATCTAAGTATGAGTTTTCTTTTTTTCAGCTCCAATTGGACAATCAATGCATCGACTGCTTATGATCCAGGCTTTCCGACCAGATCGCCTCCTGGCAATGGCTCACACCTTTGTAGTTGCTGTTTTGGGAGATACTTTCATGTCAACTATTGAGCAGCCATTAGACTTGTCAGCTATTGTTGATAATGAGGTATGGCTGAAAAACATTGTACAATGTTTGTTAATAGTGGAAAACTGCTATTCTAATTTGGGTATAAATCTATATTTTGAGCTTTCTGTTCACCAAAGTAGCTTAGTTAGAGCTGCCACCTGTTTTGGGGTATTATTTCAATCTCATTAGTGTATTCTGCTTCAAAAATAGTATCAAATGTTGCATAGTTTTCGTTTGTTTCTTTATATAGTCAAACGGTTTTCATGCCTCAAGACTTGTTATCCTGCACCATAGTCTTTCTCTTAATCTGAGTAAATCGTGCTTAGATCATGTCAATGCCAATTTTAACTGACAGGTGAAAAGATGGTATACAGCTGTGTCTAAAAGGCATTCCGTCCTCATACTGCGACTAGTGATATTTTTGTATTGTGTCGATCTGGAAGGAGGTTTTTTTTGTAGCTTTCTGTTTAAGTTGGGTTCACTGATTGTTTTCAGGTGAAACCAAACACTCCCGTTCTGATGTGCTCCGTGTCTGGTTACGATGCCAGTAGTCATGGAGAGGACCTTGCAGCTGAACAAAACACACAGATTTCATCTATTGCCATTGGTAAGAATTCTCTCGGTAGATCCTATATGCTGATCGTGTCTTCGGACCTTTTGATGCAGTTTGCCATTTTACCTATAATTTGTTTGAATATGTTTTAGGTTCAGCCGAGGGGTTCAATCAAGCAGAAAAGGCCATCAACACAGCCGTCAAATCTGGCAGGTAAGCATGGAGCTTATATATTTTATCTTGAAATTAATTTACTTAACAAAAAAGGAAAATGACAGTATGCTGGACTTTGCCGCTGTCTGTGCAGGTGACTCTCTTTGCCAATGTTATTCTCTCACCAATTTTAACTGTAATAGGTGGGTGATGCTGAAGAATGTACACCTTGCTCCGGGTTGGCTCATGCAACTGGAGAAGAAACTGCATTCCTTGCAACCTCATGCCAGCTTCCGCCTCTTTCTCACAATGGAGATCAACCCCAAGGTACCCTATCATTTTAGAGTCATTGAGCCTAACTTCTGAGGTTTAAGATTAGAATAAGCTGTAAAAGTATAGATTTTCCTGAGAGATGGCTACGTTATGAAAAGATTTACCCTTTCGGCAAAAGGCTTAAGTTCAAAACTTTGTGAAACCTAAATCTATGTAAGGGTTCAAATCCAGCCTCTTCTTATAATTGGCTTTAGTATTGGCCTGTTTAACTTAATTATAAATTAATTTTTTTTTAATTGATAATGTAATGGCAGCTACTCCAAGCAGCCAGTGGTAAAATAAATTGAATTTCCTATTTTATAGTATTCCAATGAGAGTGTTGACATTTTCTAAAAAGGGTTTATAAAAATATGATTTGTGTATGACAAGTAATGATATGAATAAGATGCCTCTTGGAACTTGAGCTGTGATTTTAAACCTCCACGAGACCATTTATGTCTGGCAAAAAAACAAGATTTTCTCTTTCTGAATTTTGACTAACCGACAACTAATTCTTGCAGATTCCAGTGAACTTGTTACGTGCTGGTCGTATCTTTGTATTTGAACCTCCTCCTGGTGTGAAGGCCAACATGCTGAGGACCTTCAGTAGTATCCCTGTTGCCAGGATGTGCAAAGTAAGGGAAAAAAAGTTTAATATACATTGGGTGGCATCTCTTATCAGGACACGTGTCCTGCGAATTTGCTTTGAGTAATTGCTTGGAGAAATTGTACTGGGTATCAGTGGATTGTGGTGGGAAAAGGAAGAAAGATAAGCAGGGTCTCCTTGTTGCTGAGCTGGCTCCAAGGTGACGTGTTTGGCAACGGAATATCTTAAACAAGTCAGATATGGCTGTCCCGGTTATCCAGTTCCTAAGCCAGCCTCGGAGAAGGCATTCTTCCCACTCAGCTCCTATTAAATCTGCAAGCCAAAGCCTTAACGGATAGTGGTCCTAGCTGGACAAGTAGCGGGAAGCTTGCCAGACAGAGCTCTCAATGTCAAGGACTTAAATCTTAGCTGGCTAAACTCAAGCACTATCCCAACACACACCTAGCTTCCCTTTGCGCCTTGGCTCTGGCCAGCCAGCACTAAAGCTCTTTGGTCTGGATATGCTTTAAGCACGGGTTTTCACACTCTGCAGACACTTGGCTGACTAAAAAAAATGTCATGTATCTTTTTAAACTTTCTTATAGGTGGTTGACTTTGGGAATGAAGTGTAATTTTAAATACAATCTTAAATGAGAAGTTCTTGTCTTGTATCACCAATCAAAAATTAAAACTTATGTTTATTAATCAATTCTAAGGCTCCAAATGAGCGTGCACGTCTATACTTCCTCCTGGGCTGGTTCCATGCGATTATACAAGAACGTCTGCGATATGCTCCTTTGGGATGGTCCAAGAAGTATGAGTTTGGAGAATCAGATTTGAGATCTGCGTGTGATACTGTGGACACCTGGCTGGATGACACAGCAAAGGCAAGTTCTCCTATTAGAAGTAAACTAATTCCAGGGAAGCAAGTACCTAGAGAAATAATACTTTAAACTAAAATGTATAATTGAGTTTTTATGGGTTCAAGTCTAACTAGAACGGAGAGGGAGATAAGGAAATGAAATGGTCTGTTCATATGAAGCTAAACCTCTGAATGGGTCAAGCGGATAGAGCAGTTCTGTGAATAATTGAAAAGGATGATGGTCAAGATAAGATTTGATTTATATACCTATTTTGAAATTTTAGGAAATATACTTCACATTTTTAAAGCTCTCACGCTTATGACTGCTCTCTTACCATCTATAAAATGTGCAAAGTTTATAGTTTAAGCACTATTTTGTATTTATGCAAAGCAAAGTACGTTTTGAATCCAGTCCTTAATGAGTTGTACAAATTTGAACGATGCAACAAAGGAACAATTTTATTCCATTCAATTTTTCCCAAATTAAAGTCACTTGTAATCCTGTCAGATTTAACACGTGTTACATAGGATATTCCTCGGGATCTAGTTTCGGGAGGCAACTCCTTGCCATCATTTGACACACGGCAAAAGTAAATGGTTTCCACTTCCCTGATCAATTATTATTAAGCCTTTGTTGGTAAATGTTACCGATAAAGTAGGAATTATACATCTTAAAATATTGAAGGTCATTATCTCAGAGAAAACACTTCCTTTCGATTTAGTGCCTCCTCACTTCAAATCGTATTCTGTAGTTTCATGATTCTAATTGATTGATGACATTGAATGACTTGTACTGTGCAGGGACGCCAGAACATATCTCCTGATAAGATTCCTTGGGCTGCTCTTAAGACACTGATGGCACAATCAATTTACGGAGGACGTGTTGACAATGAGTTTGACCAGCGGTTGCTGAACTCTTTCTTGGAGCGTCTCTTCACAACTGCTAGCTTTGACAGTGAATTCAGGCTGGCCTGCAAAGTCGATGGACACAAAGATATTCTAATGCCAGATGGCATCAGGTAAAAAAAGAAACTTTTCCTCCAGCTAGGTTTAAAGAGACGACATATAATTAAGCTTTATTAACAAAACGCTGATTTGTTTGCAGGCGCGAGGAGTTCATTCAGTGGGTTGAAATGCTACCTGATGCGCAGACTCCATCTTGGCTGGGCTTGCCAAACAATGCAGAGAAAGTGCTGCTAACCACACAGGGTAGGTATAAGCTTCCCAAGCGATGGAGCTGCTAACGTTTCTAATTCTAATTTATATTTTGAAGATTTTGAAAATGTAAGAATTATATAATTTGGTGTGGGTGGTTAATATATAACACCTTGCATTTACATAGTGTCCTTCACGAGCAGGTAGCGTCTCGGAACGTTTAATTGACCCTTACTTGTGGTTCAGGCACCGACATGCTCAGCAAAATGCTGAAAATGCAGATGTTGGAGGATGAGGATGACCTGGCTTACGCAGAGACCGAGAAGAAGCAGCGGACAGGTTCCACTTCAGACGGCCGGCCAATCTGGATGCGAACCCTCCATACCACAGCCTGTAACTGGCTCGATGTCATCCCGAAGTCGCTGAACTATCTCAAGCGTACGGTGGAGAACATTAAGGTAAAGAATGTGAAGCTTTTGTAATGTTGCTTCTGCATGGGACAAAGAGAAATGAATAGACTTCGCTCTTTGTGAGTAAAAGATCTTTCACGTGTGGATCTTGCTTGGTGTTCGGCTCTCCTGTGAAGCCCTCCAAGGCTTTATCCTATGCGAAGTTGTTGCGTGAATGACAGTTCTTCTGATTGAAATGGATCTTATAGTGATGCTTCTAAAATTCTACTCTGATGCAATTTCATGTCGATCACAAAACTTCAAGATCTTAATCAAAATGGTCACTATAGAATCTATATTGCCTCAGAATTTTCACTCTTGCCAAAGGCGTAAAATGTCAGCTCTGTTTGGCAATTTGGAAAAGGTGAATGAGTTTTTAAAAAACTTGGATTAGTTTAAATTCAAACTTTTAGAAGGGGTGTATTCTAGGTTCAAGTAGATTCCTTGGTTTTATTGTAGGGTATTATTATAATCCATCAGTTCAGACAATGATCTAACATTAGTTAGATATTAGATTGTAATATTAGTTCACTTAAGTTTTGTTAACACTTATTTTATGATAGGTGGAAGACAGCATTGTAAATGCATGTTAAAGTAGTAAGACCCATTCTTATCTGTCTTTCAGTCACATATAGAAATGGATATTGTAGAAAGTCTGTGGAAAAATGTGAGCATAAGAAATGTTGTCTTTTAGGATCCACTGTTTAGGTTCTTTGAGAGAGAGGTTAAGAGTGGAGCCAAATTGCTTCAGGATATTCGCCAAGACCTAGCTGATGTCGTCCACGTATGTGAGGGCAAGAAGAAACAGACCAACTATCTGAGGACACTCATCAGTGAAATGGTGAAAGGTACAGAACTGGATTGTACAGCCTTGAGAACAAATGTATGTTTTTTTAAAAACAAAGATGGTTATCATTTGGATTTTAGTTAAGCATAATTATGTTGTTGTTGCTGCCAACATGTGAAATGTTTGTACAGGAACATGGTATCAGCAAGTTGTGTTGGATGCTTGCTTGCACTGCAAACTTCATGCTTAACACAGCTGTATTTAAAGTTGTACAGTAGAAAAGTACAATGAGATAGAAGCTGGAGGTAAATCAGTATCATAACTCCCAAGAATCAACAAGTACAGACACTTCTACTTGTTGATTGACAAGTATCGGTAATGCAATAGACTTATTACTCCGACAAGCTCTTCACCTTGACTCTTAAAATTTAGGCTTATGATGTCCCACCCTTAACCATTCTTAATTTTTACATTTTTATTTTCTCTCTGCAAAGGAATCCTGCCTCGTAGCTGGGCCCGCTACACAATTCCTGCTGATATGACTGTGATCCAGTGGGTGGGTGACTTCAGTGACCGTATAAAGCAGTTGCAGCACATCTCTCAGGCAGCAGCCACCGGAGGAGCTAAGGAATTAAAGGTCTGTGTTTTCACAATTCTTTCCAAAACACAACCTTTTCAGATGTCAGCCTCTGGCCATGAAGTGCCTTTTACCAAATGCAGGGAGGATTATAAAATTACCACTGATCTGCTTGATTGCTTTCCATTTTACAATACTGCCAATTTGTGCACAGCATTATCCTACAAACAGTGAGTGAAATTAAAGTAAAATGAAATCTAAATGGAGAAATTTACTTATTAAACTTCTCTCAACACCGATGGTAGAAAGCGGTTACATGTAACTAAGTTTCTTCAAATTCTGTTTTAACGAAAACAGTCAGCTCCAGGGGTAAATTTTATCCTCTTTGATGTTAAGTTACATTTATTTATGGAAGTTCAAGGTTAAACAGCACAATAGAATGGCTTCCTGGATATAGGCTGGATTTGCTTTTGAATTGTTGGGCATGTAAAGGTTTTCCATTTCTGACACTGATTTTATTTTGTTACTTTTACTGTAGAATATCCATGTTTGGATTGGTGGCTTATATGCACCTGAGGCGTATATCACAGCAACACGGCAGTACGTGGCTCAAGCAAACAGTTGGTCACTGGAGGAACTTTGTCTGGAAGTCACTGTTTCAAACAGTCAAACACAGTTACTTGATGCTTGCAGTTTCGGGATAACTGGTTAGTGAACAAAATCCTGCTTGTTTGGTATTGTAGATGTATTGACAGCATAGAATTTGATGCACATCAAAGTTAGTCATGCTGGGTGTCAGCATCAAGTAGTCAGATTAGGTACAGAACAATTTAAATGCAGGGCGAAGCTCCTACTGATCACCTCTTCCCCGTCCAACAAATACTACAGCAACTGGGACCCCAACCACTTTCCACATCAGTTATCCTTTGGTTAATATGGGAAATATTAAAGGGGTTTGAACTTCAGTTGGTTCCCAAAATAGATGCTTGCTTGTAACTTTATTCAAAACATTGTACAGAAGTTGTGTGTTCTGTGCCATGGACCAATGATGTACGCTCATAATTGTCTTAAGTGGTGAGTTCCTAACCCAAGTCATGCTGCTGTAGGATAACAATTCCCCAGAAGGAACAACGTAAGAGAGCAAGGGCACACTTTCTGGCAGCCTGGTTCAAGGTATAATTGGAAGATAGCTTCCAAATCAGTTGGGAACAGTATGAGGAAAATTGCTTTTATTAAAACCAATATCTTACCCTTTGTTTTAGGTCTGGGGCTTCAGGGTGCCACATGCAACAACAATAAACTGTCCTTGTCCAATTTAATCTCTACCGAATTGCCTCTTACACAACTAAGTTGGGTTAAAGAGACCTATGCTGAAAAGAAAGCTAACGTGGTAAGTGAAAGACGAGATGCATTTCACTAAAATTTACTGGTGATGCTATTATTGCAATTTACATCAAAGAATTCTAGCCAGCTGCTGGTGAGATACTGATTACAAATAACTGTTCAAGTTAAATATTCCAAATGTGAACAGCTAAGATTGATCTATGAAAACCCTTGCATATTTAATGTATTTGGGAAGACTGTTGTACAACTGTCAAATACAACTGTATTTGTTATAAACCTGATTTGGAGTTAACTGACTGATGTGCATGTTCTTTTATTTTCAGGTGACGCTTCCTGTGTATCTGAACTTCACCCGGGCTGACCTAATCTTCACTGTTGACTTTGAAATCGCTACCAAGGAAGATTCTCGCAGCTTCTATGAACGCGGTGTTGCAGTCTTGTGCACAGAATGAATATAAACTTATTGCTGTTCGGAAACATGTCATAAATTTAGCAGATAATTGTATTGCATGTGCTAATCTTTAGAAGTAACTGAGTAGTTGTATCCCTTTCAACATAATGAGCGATTCCAGAAAGATTTTGTAAAAGTGATTAGATGGTATGAGAAGAGATGGTTTGAGATTGAGGAGCTAATGTGTTGTGTGTAAAGATGGCTGATGGATTTGGTGGAGTTTGTGATAGAGTTGGAAGATGTTCTGTAGTAGATGGTTTTACGGTGACTATAAAATGATACATCATGATTGTGGAGTCTGAAAATGCATTTCTGGAATTAAATTTCCAACAGGACTTGGAAATATTAACCCATTGTGACATTTCATGAGTGTTTTTCTGGCAACAAGGTATATAAGGCAAATGTTGCATGCTCTGGTGTGAGGTGCTTAACCTTCTTTGTCTCAGCTGTTCTGTGGACTTCTGTGCCCAACATTGGTCATGCTTTTTTCCCTTGTGCTTATGGCTAGATGTAATCCAGATTTGTGTATGAGCTACTTGAACTCTACAATTACAGAACATCATTTTTAAAAGTAACCAAGGAAATTAGGTCAAATTTAAATCTTACTGTAAGGCAAAATTCACCCAACTTTTGTGGTTGTGTAAGTTCCAATCATCACAACAGAGAGACCGTAACATACAGTGCATTTGTGTAAATGTGATCATATTCCCAAAGAAAGATATGTACATGATTCACTGTTGAAGTTACTTCCTGCTACATTTCTCCCCCCACCCCATTCATAGAATGTCTATTCTGAAAGCTGTTGCAGTTGGTTTAACTTGTTCTTCCAGATAAGCATCTCATGCAGGGATCTAAGGAAGTAACCATCTCCCTAAATTAGAGTTGGATCCAAGCCTTAAGAAGTAGATAACCTTAATCTTTTATAATGACCCCCTTAACCTTATGATTATGAGCAGAGAACTAGAATGTGTGCAACTCTTTAATCCCTTTCCATCTAATTTTTGCAATGGTTAAGTCATTCAGCAGGTACTTAGTGCTGTGAAATCCGTGTAGATATTTTCTGCAGAAAATACAATTTCAGCTCATTGCATGACAAGTATAAAGTAACTGACCCACCATTGACAAGCCTGTTGCTTTCATCAAAACAACCCAAAATGAATCTGGGATATAATTCCTCTTATGTAAAACAATGAAGATATAAATCAAAGGGGTAAATCTCAGTGCATTTTTATTTGAGCTTGTAAAGAAACTGCAAACAAGCATTCTTGGCCTCAAGACATACACAGTAATTGATATTTCACTTGGCCTTTCTAACCATTACAAGATGTGTGAAATTATCCAGTTTACGCAGTCAAATCAAGCACAGTAGCACAAAAACTTCATTCCACCAGGCAGTGAACATTCTATTTTACCTTTGGATAGCAATTAATCATTGCTACAGTTTCATTTGTACAGATCAATTCATCACTGCAAAAAATAACCTTTTAATCCCACCACTTCTTTTTACGCATCTTTTCGTTACCTGCATCCATCATAGAGTTCCCTAGCTTTCTTTTTGACGACAACTTTTCTTTAACGATTCCACTAGGAGGCTTTAAGACTGACATTGAGCATTGGTGGTGAAAGTCTCGATGCCTGGGTTCATCATCCCCATGGTTTCCTGGAGTGAGCATGTTCAGAATGGCAAGTTCGCCAATACCTGTATTTACTGGAGGGAACACAGTAAGAACCCCAAAACTTGGGGACAACCCTTGCTCTCCACATTTTGTATCTGGCACAAGTCCATCAGTTTCCAATTGCTCGTGCTCTTGTTTTGATTGAACAGCAGATTCACTGCCAGATTGCATTGACTCATCAGGTGTAAGCACAGGTTCTGTTACTGTGGTATCCAGTTGTATAGAAGTGCACACAGATTCAACATTCATCACTACTGATGCTTCTTGAAATTCTCTCAACTTTTCTTCATCAGTTGCTACAAGAGAATGGGATTGGTGTCCTGGCTCATCAATGTAGATATCTTCTGGGTGGTTTATAGTGCTGTCAGATTGACTGGAGGTATTTTCAGAGTCTCCATCGTAAGGATCCAAATGCTAAGATTTCAAAAAAAAAAGTTCCAAAGTATTTTCAAAAGTTCAAGAAAGGTTCTCCAGAAAGTTTTCAACATCATGGCTTCTGTTAATACGGTAAATTCCTGCTATCACTCCCAAGGGAAAAGGGCTCAGGGACAAGCTAGGCATATGTATCAATAAATGCAGCTGCGATATTCACGGTGTGATAATAATAAGCGCATTTGGTATAGCGCTTTTCACATCTTCTCGACGTCTCAAAGTGCTTCACAGAATAGACTGTAAAGTGAATTGACCGTATATTTGTGATGACTTAAGTGGTAGTGACAAGTTAAGACAGGGTTCAGTTATCAGGAGTTTACATCTGTCTCACATTCAATAGCTCGCTTTTGCATAACAGCACAAAGAACTTAATGAGGAAAGTTTTTTCCAACAAAGTTATAGCTGAAATGTTACCTCGGAGGAGAGGGTGATAGAAAAGGGATCTGAAACCAAATCTCATTGCACTCGCTAATTGTGCACATATCCTCAAGCATTTATGAATGTTCAGTAGTGCCATTTTACACTAGAGCACAGTACACCAAACCGATGCCAACTTCATTTCCACTTACATACAGCATTATATACTTACTTTTGTTACATCAGGTTTCTTTGCAGAGCCAAGAATTGGGTTCATCAAAGCCTGTAGTGGGCAAATAAACTTAATCAGACATTAGACAAACTTTTAGCATTTTCTAGGGAAAGGGAAAAGAATTACCTCAATATAAGTATCGGATTCAGATTCTGTACTTGATTCTACCCTACATTTTTCCTTGAGAGAGAAAAAAATACACATTATTCTTTCCTCCTTATACCCATACTAAAATATTTGGGCAATTGTTTCAATAACAGTTCCAGATTACCTTGTACTTGTATGCCAATAATTCCATACCATCTGGAATTCTCTCCGTGCTTATTCTAAATGGTTCTGAAAGAAAAACTGCTACTGTTAGAAGTTGTTGCAATATAAATTATTTCAGGCATTTATACACACACTGTTGGTGACTGCAATGGGCACATACATGTGTTAATCATGACATCCCACGATGAATGCTCCAGAATGCTAAACTCATTTCTATATATTTTTTAAGAAAACTGGGGAAAGAGAAGCACTTTGGCTATCAAAAAATGTCCTTTTTGAAAATGATATTACTTCCATTAAGGTTTATGAACTGCAAAAAGGAAAGAAAATAGTCCTATCCTGATCTGATACGATTATTATTATCTGCAAATTTGTGAACCAGAGAACGTAAGCGTCGAGGATAACTGGTCCTGATCATCACATAATAAACCGGGAATGTTTGGTCGGTTACTAACGTGGATAATTAAATTGAATTCTCTGAATAACCCCTTTTGAATCTCGTTCACACAGGAGGTTCAACTCAAGTGATTGATTTCTAATTGCCTGCATTGGCCGAGAGGCTCCTGCGTAAAGTGCGCGCAATATTATTCCAATTCGCTAATTAAAAAAGTGCAGCAATCAATGTCTGAGTGAGACGGAGCCTTTAACGAAAGCCTTTGACTTTAACCTGCCCCGAATTTTTTTTATAAAAAGATTAAAAGTAAGAGTTTGGGGAGATATTAAAAAGCCCAACTGCATCCCAACACATTCGGCTCCAACGATCATATCTGTACCACTACTCAGATAATTAGCAAACTAACACATGTTTTCGTTTGTGCTTCTTAAATACCAATGACCAAACCCTTTACCTTGAGCAGGATATCGAATTCGTCTCTTTTTCTTTCTGACTGACATACCCCCACGACCTACCCAACCCACCTGAAAACAAAAACCACACCGTTTCTCTCCTCGAAACACTTAAAACCTTAGGCAAACTCCACCCAGTTTTACTCTTAACACGTTCTTCAACAGGTCCCCAGTAAAGTAAGCCCCGGAATTCCATCCACTCCAGGATTTTTCAGACTGACTTTTATCTGCCAATGATGGGGAAAGCCACAGGTGCAAAGAGAGAGAGAGAGAAAAAAAAGCACAGCCCTGGGAGCTTCAGCTAACAGGTAAGTGATATTAATCCAACATTAATGATTTAAAAGTCCTCAGTAGTGAGCTCGCAGTTGGAGGCACTGCTTGTTTTCACTGCTTTAATCAGTAGATTCAGCAATAACAATCTCCTATGTTGCAGTTTCTTAAACCACCCAGTTAATAAAGTCCCTTTTTTTGTGACTTACAAATGACACAAACTGCTTTACTCTTTTGTAAATTTACTTTGGTTGCTTTTGAAAAAAAAAATTAAAGAAGCGGGTTTCAAGGGAGATCGACAATAAGACAACAAGGTGCGGATGGTTTTACTGCCTCGTCATGTCTTAACCTCAGCAGCACACGCAACTAGGAGTTCTCAGGCGGTGTAAATACACGACAGCACGAGTCTAGTAACACGAGCAATAACTGCTTAGCAGTTACCTGTATATTTGAGAACTGTCCAGCAATTTAGGAAAACAAACGAGTGATTCAATAATAAGGTGTTGAATATCCAACAAGCAAATGAGATTCCACCATGTAGCAAGAGGACCTCTGGTGGCCACTCTGCCTATAGAGTGGTACAGGTTCTATGGACAGTTTTAACTACATCTTGTAACTTGGCACGATGCAGTGATTTGCTCATTACCTTTATTGTAGATACTTACTGAGTTCATCATTTTTCTAAAAAAAAAGCCCCAGTGACCTCCCTGTATGTGAGGACATACAATGTATAAAACAGCAATTCATGTTCTCGTAAATTAATCAAATCAAGAAAACAAAAACCTTCGGAAGTATTCCAGCTAAAAGTTAAAACACTTGTTTAAACCTCTGTCTGTCTACAGAATGTTGCCTTTATAATTGTAATATGCAAGTATTTTGAAAACAGGGATTCAGCTGAACATATGGCAAACAGTAAAATTGTCTGTCTTGACATCAAGTCCTAGACAAGAGCAAACTTTTTCCAGCCCAATGTTGACAAGACAGAGCCACCTCCTCACCTCAGCCTCTGACACGATCAGCAGTCACTCTTCATTTCACCATTCCGAAACCTCGGTGTCCTTTTCGACCCTCAGCTATCCTTCAAACCTCACATTCCTGCTGTGACCCATTCCGCCTTTCCACGCCTCTGCAACATTGCTGCCTGGGACACTCACTGCAGTCTGCCAAAGCCGATTCAGGGCTTCACTGACTTACCATTTCTCAAAAAATTGAGTACAAAATCCTTGCTCTTACCTTCAAGGCCCTCCAGTCCTCCGAAACATCACCAGACTACGGCACTACCTCACCCCTCACGCTGCTGAAACCCTGGTCCTCGCCTTTATCACCTCAAGGCTGGACTATGGGAACTCTCTCCTCACGGCCTTCCCGGACCTCCCTCCACAATGCGGGTCATTCAGAACTCTGCAGCTCGTGTACTGTCCCGCACCAGACACCGCGACCACATCACTCCCACCCTCGCCCTCGCCCTCGCTCGCCTCCACTGGCTCCCCATCCCCCAGAGGATCGAATTCAAGATCCTCATCCTCACCTACAGGGCCATTCACGGCCTCGCTCCCTTCTACCTCTCCAACCTACTATCCCCCTACCTACCTGCCCGTACCCTCCGTTCCTCTGGCTCCGGTCTGCTCCACATCCCCCGCCCCAACCGCCCTACCATCGGTGGCCGGGCCTTCAGCCTCTCAGCCCCGAGGCTCTGGAACTCCATCCCCCAGTGCCTTCGCCGCTTCCTCCCTTTCCTCCTTCAAGGCCGGTCTCAAGACCTGTTGCTCCTCCCCCATAACCCATATCAGCCTATCCGCTCGGCAGACACCTGCTTCAGGTCCCCCACTTACCACCCCACTATTGGCAGTCGGGCAATCAGAATCTCTGTCCCCACACTCTTGAAACTCTGTCCTAAAATCCCTCCGCCTCACCCCATCTCTTGCCTCCTTCAAGTCCCGTCGAACGTGTCCACCCTGATTTCATCATTAGCCATACACACAGGAATTCATTTGATGATTTAGTTCTCCAAAAAACTTTATAAAAACATACCAGATGGATTCAGGCGAGCAACTTTATTTTGCAGATTTAACCACATACAACCTGCAGTACTAGTACTGACTGAACAAGTTTACAAGGTGGGGTGGGGTGGGGGGGGGGAAGGAAACCTGCAGCATCAACCATACTTCACAGAAGTGGGATACTGTTACAAAACAGATGTCAGAACTTTTAAATCCAATTACTACAACAGACCATGAGAATTTTTAACTTTGAAATAGAATGTATTGGTTATTTCAGTCAACTTCTTCCATTCGAGATGCATCATCATCGTCTTCTAATGGTGGCATCTCCTCTGTAGCTGGCTGGGCAGCATCATCTGCAATTGGGTCCTCCTCATCAATTCCTTTGGGACAAGAGAACAAAGTCACACTTTTAAGACCGCTAAAAGCAATCATAATGATGAAAAATCCAAGTACCACTGAGTATCGGTAAGGCTTTTGGACAAACAATGAACAGTTATATAGTTTAGGAACAGTGTAGGCAGAGGAAAGCAAGCAAGGAGATAGTTGCCCACAAATTATCATATTTGTAACATTGTAAGTATAACTAATATTTCAGTGGCTTCATGTTATTGAAAAGGAAAATTCATCTGGAAATACTGAACAATTTTCAGATATAATTAATTCTAAAAGGGGTCTTTGATACAACTTGTATCGATACAGTTAACTACAAAATACATACCAAGACCAAGTTTGATCATCCTGTAGATTCGATTAGCATGAGTTTGTGGATCTTCCAACGAAAAACCTGAAGATAGTAGTGCCGTTTCGAAGAGAAGAATGACAAGATCCTTCACCGACTTGTCATTTTTGTCATCTTCTGCCTTCTGCTTCAGTGTTGCAATGATTGGATGATCAGGATTGATCTCTAGATGTTTCTTGGCTGCCATATAACCCATTGTAGAGTTATCACGAAGAGCCTGAGCCTTCATGATTCTTTCCATGTTGGCAGTCCACCCATAAGTGCTGGTCACAATGCAACACGGAGAGGAAACTAAGCGGTTGGAGACAGTTACCTGAAAAAAGGAGTTATAAAAAAAAAGTTGAAAGAGATACAATTTACTGGCTTCATTTTTTTAATATTGTTTTCAACAATAATGTGGATTATAAATCTACAGTAATACAGATGAAAACATGAGGACATTAATCTCCCTCATCTGAGACAGGAAGCTTCGAATTGACAATTTATTCAAGAGGAAATGCACCAAGATTAATGCTTTATTGTACCATATCTATACTGCCAAGCTATTTAGGCTTTCACACTGTGCAATACATAATTGGAAGCATATAGTTTTTTGAATATTTCATCTAAACACATCAGTAAGATGCAAAATTTAACTCAAATAACTTTCCTTAATTTAGGTTGCCAAAGGATCAGAAACCTTAAAAATTTCAACCAGTAAATAGTTAAGTGCTCTGAAATATGAAGTGCTGGGAGACATTACCCTGCATGAAGGTAGCTATATAAATTCAAGTTGTTGAATACTATACTAGTGCAATTATTTTCAAACCTGAAAGAAAAAAAAACATTTGGTGTTCAGGTTTACTCAGTAATTTTGACTTGTTTCTGGTAGAAACGTATAACTTTTACACAGCTATGCAGGTCTGTTCAATGTTGTATTACATACAATTTAAAGTCAACTTACTTTCTCAATTTTCTTCTCCAATATGTCTTTCATGATCTTGCACAGATTCTCATAACTGCTCCTTTTCTCTTCTTGTTTCTTTTTCTCTTCTTCATCTTCTGGAAGCTCTAAACCCTCTTTAGTGACTGAAACCAAAGTCTTGCCATCAAATTCCTTCAACTGCTGCACACAGTATTCATCAATTGGCTCAGTCATGTAGATCACTTCCAATCCATGTTTTCTCAGCCACTCTACAAAAGCAGAGTTAGCCACTTGATCCTTGGTTTCACCTTTGGAGTAAGACAGAACATTTTTTGATTTTTCCAAAATGACAAAAAGTTACCATCTCTGGAGTACTGCATAAAATTAAGTCAACTCACCAGTTATGTAGTAAATGTGCTTTTGGTTGTCTTTCATGCGTGAGACATAGTCTTTGAGGGACACCATTTCATCACCACTCACTGAGGTATGGTACCTGAGCAGCTCTGAGAGCTTCTTACGATTCTGGGAGTCCTCATGGATTCCAAGCTTTTGAGAAAAGGGAAAAGATTTGATAGAAATAAGAACAGAAGTTATTCAAACACAATGAAAGTATGGAATCATGTTCTTCCACTTAACAATTCCACAATTGTTCAGTATTGATTTTCCGAAGTATGTAGCAATTTTTTAAAAAAAAACCTCACAAATTCCATTAATAACCATCTTATGTAGTACCTTAAGGTTTTTGGAAAACTGATCATATAATTTCTTGTAGTTGTCCTTGTCCTCAGACAATTCTATGAAGAGCTCCATACATTTCTTAACAAGATTCTTACGAATAACTTTCAGAATCTTGCTTTGCTGCAACGTTTCACGAGAAATGTTTAATGGTAGGTCCTCAGAGTCCACAACACCTTTCATAAAATCTTGAGATTGAAAAAAAATTAGAATAAATTAGATATCCTAGTTTAAATCCACAATTTAAAAGTATTAACACAATTTGGTGACATAATTGAGTACGAGGATACAGCATACAGGTTGGAAACAAGGTTAAATACATTCATGAGGGATCAATACACAAAATATTAAGTTGGCTGCTTTGTGTATACTTACTAAGATATTCTGGAATAAGCTCATCACAATTATCCATGATGAAGACTCTGCGTACATAGAGCTTGATATTGTTCTTCTTCTTTCGGTTTTCAAATAAGTCAAATGGTGCCCGTCGTGGAACAAAGAGTAAAGCTCTGAACTCCAGCTGGCCCTCAACAGAGAAATGCTGTAGAGAAAAAAGAATTTTCTTACAAAAGCAGTAAAAATACAATTTGCCAGTTCTTCATAAAAACTGCTTATTCCAGTTAATTTTACTTACACGTGGAAATGGGAGGGGTGCGGGGCAAAATATGCTACAAGTACCATTTAAAGTATCACTGAATAACAGCTTACCTTTACAGCCAAGTGTTCCTCCCAGTCATTTGTCAGACTCTTATAAAATTCTCCATACTCTTCAGTGGTAATGTCCTCAGGATTCCTAGTCCAAAGTGGTTTGGTCTTGTTCAGCTCCTCTTGATCAATGTATTTTTCCTTGATCTTCTTCTTCTTTTTCTTCTCACCTTCTTTCTTTTCATCTTCTTCTTCATCTGATCCAACATCTTCTATTTTTGGTTTGTCTTCCTCACTTGCATCTTCTTTCTTCTCTTCCTTCTCTTCTGCTTCATCATCACTGATCTCCTTATCACGTTCTTTCTCCACCTGTATTTAATTTCAAAATAATGTTTTAAAACATTTCCGCTATATTTTCTGACATTCAAACGTATCATTGGATTGGTCTCATTAACAGTTCTGTCCTGAAGAGGTTTAATTACCTCCTTTCTAAAGTAGTTATTCTTCAGTTAAGGCTCATTGAGGAATATTAGCAAGGTATTCAATTGCATGTGGGATAAATTGCCAAATGTAGTTCTGGTCTCACCTTTCAACATCTCTAAGACAGCAATTAGAAATAAAAACCCTGTTGTCTCTTTACTGCAGGGACGCGGAAGCCAATTACAAACTCCTTTTTAAAATATTTATCTGGAAAATATACTTACATAAAGTGTGATTGGGTAGCCAATGAACTGAGAGTGCTTCTTCACAACCTCTTTGACCCTCTTCTCTTCTATATATTCCATTTGATCCTCTTTCAAGTGCAAGGTTATTTTGGTCCCACGACCCAGTGGCTCACCTTAAGAAAACAAGATGAAAAGCAAATGCATTTATACTTAGTGACTCATTAAGTTACATTTGATGTGGAGAAGAAAATAGTGGATAAACAGATTTATATTGAACATATCTTAAGGGTAATTTTTTTAAATTAACAACTATAGTACATATAAAAAAATTAAACTGAAGTTTTTTGGACAGCAAAATTTATTGAACTAACACACCGTAATTCCTTTTTTTAAAAAAATTCCAAATAAACTGAAGAATTCCAGCACACTGTTTACTCTGTAATTTGAGATAGTTTCTATAGTTTAAAAATCAGATTCAAGCCCACTACATGGTACTTTTTGTTTCTAAACTTGTACTTACCCTGATCTAATCTCACTGTGAACGATCCTCCAGCAGATGATTCCCAAATATACTGTTCATCATCACAGTGTTTGGTGATGACAGTAACCTTTTCTGCAACAAGATAGGCAGAATAGAAGCCAACACCAAACTGGCCAATCATGGAGATATCTGCACCTGCCTGCAAAGCTTCCATAAAGGCCTTTGTTCCAGACTTAGCAATGGTACCCAGGTTGTTAATGAGATCAGCTTTGGTCATCCCAATACCAGTATCCCAAATGGTTAAAGTGCGTTCCTTTTGGTTTGGCGTAATGTCAATCTTCAGCTCTTTGCCAGAATCCAGCTTGCTTGGATCAGTCAGGCTTTCATAGCGAATTTTATCAAGTGCCTTTTATATAAAAAAAAACAGTTCTCAGAAGATTAAGTTTTGAGCAGAAACTAGAAAAGTTCTCTTTATACAATAAAACAGACTTGTTCCAAATAGTGAACCCGTGGAATAGTCTCCCTAGGGAGACGATTGAAGCAAGAAGTGTTGATTCTTTCAAACACAGATTAGATAGTTTTCTTTTAGGAAATAATATACATAGGTAGTTTGGGGCATATGTCTATTCAACCACCAGGAAGGTGGAAGGTGAACTAGATGGACCTTGGTTTTATTTCATCTAGCTGTTCTTATATTCCACACATCACCTCCATTTGACAGACACATTGAGGAAGAAAGGAACAAAAAGGGGGTATGGGAGGAAATGAGTGGGTGGAGAATTATATGGATTATAAACACTGGCACAGACTAGTTGGGATGAATAGCTCATTTCCATGCTGTAGTCTATGTAAATTTAGTTTGAAGGTAATACATACACCATGGTGTATATTTCTTGGAGGATGCTGAATAGCATACAAAACATTTGTGAGTGGTTATTTTCTTAAGGCATTAACTGTATGGAGGCCCATTTCCCCCACCCACCCACCCGCAATCCATAAACCTTACAAATAAATGTAATTTTATGACAATTCAGTCTCTCAAAATGACTTACATCAGAGGAGTTAGAAATAATCTCTCTCAGAAAGATCTCTTTGTTGGAGTAGAACGTATTGATGATCAGGGACATCAACTGGGCGATTTCTGCCTGGAAGGCAAAAGTTTCAACTTCTTCCTCCGTCGCCATGTCTTGAGAAGAAGCGTTCTGGACTTCCTCGGGCATCTGTAGGTGCGTGTGGGCGTATGTTTTTTTTTAAAAAAAAGTACGTTACACCTGCGAAACGAACGTCCGTTGTTGGGCTACAGGTTTCACGAACCGCGACTACAAAATACGCGGCAGAATAATAAATCTCCATCCTAATTGGATTGGGGGGGGGGGGGGGGAAATCTCTGCCCCAGGAAATGATGCAGTCAGATCTTGGCTTGTGTTGTGCATTATTTAACCTGGAGTCAGGTCCTGGGCGGAGCTGCGCCGCATGCGCAGACTCTACCTTTCCCGAGGCGGGCGGCGGGGGCGGGGCGGGGCGGGCGGCGGGGGCGGGGCGACCGGGGGCGGGGAGGTGAGCTTCCAGAAACGTCTATTTATTTTACCAGCAAAAAAAACACACACACGCACACGCACCAGCCCCGGGAAAGGCGGCTCCGGGAAGCTTTTGTTGTCCAGACCCAAGAAACCCCCAATGAACCCAAACCACCATTTCCCGATTCCAGTCATTTTTTTTTCTTTGCGAATCAAATCATCGCGATTCTTGTTATTTTCTCAAAAAAAAAGGAAGCGACACAAGTCCACGTTTCTGGAATATTCTTTTACTCCCCCCCTTCCCAAGAACCGACAACGACGGACATTTTAGGCTTGCCTTTTTTTAATATTTTAAAAAAAAGAGGATTTTAATCGAGTGGTGTACGTGAGCGTTTTGGGGTCGTGTGTGTGTGTGTGTGTGTTTTTAAGTTTTTCTTTTAATTGTCACGCCAATAATAATGACCGATACGTTTCCGAGATAAATGTTTGCCCCATCATCGCCACCGTCCCTCCCTCGGGTCCAGTTCTCCCACGACGGTTTTAACTTAAAACCCCGCAAAATACCTTCCAACATTTATATATATATATTTACCTCGACCCTCCCCCCCCGCCCGCGCCGCGAAAAAAAAACAATATATTATTTGTACCTTGAAGGAAATTTTACCAGAGATTATAATTGAAAGCTGATCGCGGGCGACTTCCTCCCTGATGCTCGACGACCCCTCGGCGGCTCCGCGCTACTGCAGCGAGTCGAACCCGCCGAACCGCTTTTTATACCGCCGCCCGGCTTCAGTTTGTTCCAGAAACGTCTCGAACTCCACAGAACACCCTCCCACCCACACACGCCCGCCCACACCCCCTGCACTGATTGACAGGCGCCTCGACCAATCCAGAGCCTTCGACCACCGAAGATCCCGCCCTCAAACTACGTCATTGGCGGTGAGGTGGGCGCCAATCATCGCCGCGCGCACCCATAGGGCCGGCGGTGCGGAGGGAGGGAGAGAGAGAGAGAGAGGCTCAACTGTAATCCCCAGTTGCTGGAATGTTCTGAGCGGGAGCAGAGGGCGGGAGGGAAAGGAAGAGGAGGAGGAAGATGTCAAGGATGTCCTCGTTAACCGAGAGTGTTAACGATTAAACGTCAAACGGACGGCGCCGTCGAGAAGCACAACGCCAACAAACGTCCGAACGCTGGCACCAGCGAACCCGGTCCCGCGCCACGTTTCTCGTTTGCTGTCTCGAGGTGGAAGATTTGTAAGCGGATTAAGTGGTTAACTTTAGTCTTCAGTCACCTGTAAATCCTTTCTTTGTCATTCAGCACAAACATGGAAACCTCTGCCCCCCCCCCCCCCCCCCGACTGCCTCTCCTCTCTATTCCCCCCTCCCCTCAGGTACAGGCAAATCCGTTTCAAATTCAAACTAAGAGGAACAGTGCGCATTCACTTGGGGATGGTTTGTAAAATATTATTGCTGATCCACGCAATAACATACCGTCCCAGTCGTTTTTAATCCACATTTAGAATTCTAGAAAGTTCCGGATTCACGTCAGTGGCTTCTTGTGAGTCACTGGCCGAGATGTTTGCACAGACCAGACCTTACTTTTCGAACATTCTGGTCACGCAGAAGGCTGTATCGTTCCCTTTTGAGTAGCAAACAATAATACTCTAACCCTTGTGTTTCAGACAGTGCCTTATCACGTCTTCGAGACGTCTTGAAGCGCTTCACCGACTGCATATACTGCAAAGTGAATTGATTATATTTTGTGGGCGAAACGCGGCAGCCGATTGCGCGCAGCAGTCTCGCACAGACGGTCATGGATTGAAGTCGCCAATTTATTATTTTTTTGAAGGAATTATTACCCCCAGAAAAGCAATCCGCCAATCGATTTAACAACCTGGTTCCTACTTACCGCTAGGTAAACAGAGGCATGTGTAGTAAGGAAACTTGCCCAACATTTCGCCCTGCAAAGAATCAAACCCAGGTCTCTCCCTTGCAAGGCTAGTGCTCTAACCACTGAGCTACAGGACTCCTCTATACTAATACAGACGAAATGTCTGTATCAGCCAAGAACGCAATAACCGATTGACATCGAAACATGATTTATACCTCATCGGAGAGGTCTTGCATGGAGGACAGTCATTAGCATTTTTTGGGTGGGGGCATTTCCTATTGTTGATGAGCTATATTAAAAAGTACATTAAAAATTGTTTTAATTAACCTCCCAAAAAGGTATGCATGGTATACTGCAACGAAATAGTGATAGAGGTCACATGCCCTTCTCGAGGTAACGACAAAATGTCTGTCTGTGTTCAGGAGTCCTCCCACTGAGGCCTCCAATAGGAGTCCTTCCAACAGGAGTCCGCCCAAAAAGACTCCTTTGCACAAAAAATATGTGAACAAGTGATGTAGCTCATTTTCTTAGGCATAACGATGTCTAAGAAGTGAAGATCAAGCTTTTCAAGGACAAATAAAAATGCCTTATGANGAGAAGGACGATTAAATTAAACTGGATGCAAGCATAGCTGCAACGGAAACAGCTTGTACATATTAATTATCAGCCCTGCATTTAGGAAAGCCGTCTCAAAGCGCTTTACAGGATTTACCGTCAAATGGATTGACTGTGTTTGTAGGTAAACACGGCAGCACAATTGCGCACACCAATGTCCCACAAACACCCATGAAATGAATGACCAGATTTATTTCGGGGATTGTTGACCAGCACTCCAGAATAAACTCCCTTCTCTTTTTGAATAGTGGCTTGGGATCTTTAACATCCACGTGAACAGGTAGGCGGGACTTTGGTTTACCATCTCATCTGCTATAGCGAGAAACACTACAAAATTACTCAAGAATTACATAGACATAGAAACAGGAGTAGGCTATTCAGCCCCTTGAATCTGCTCCGTCATTTTATAAGATCATGGTTGATCTATAACTTCCAAGTACAGTTAGCCGCCTTTGCTCCATATCCCTTCATATCTTTAACAAATATTTATCTACCTCCATCTTGAAAAAACAACAATAAAATTACATTTATAGAGTGCCTTTCACGTCGGGAGGACGTCCCAAATTGAAACTGAAAGTAAATAAATTGCTAGCGTTTGTGCCTATTTTCCTTGACTTCCAAAATTTAAAAAACCTTGTTTGACATAATGCTTTTGTTCCCACCCAGATCATTGCTCACTAACCGCATCATCTTTTGCTACATAGCATTGGACTTGGACCTCAAGAACATCAAAGTAGCTGGCAACAGCTACAAAGTTTTGAAAGATAACTAGACTTTGTCCATTCTGTATACCCTATACTCCTTGATATATTTGCTGATGACTTAAATACTAATATATTTTGATAGTGCTCTTCATAGCTCAATATAGTATTTTTCAATAAAACATGATCAACCTAGTTAATAATCCCTCCAAAAAAAAACAATAAAATTGGTCATTTTCAATCCACAACTGTTTGTGGAACACTGCTGTGCGCGTTTCACCCGCAAATAAACGGTCAATTCACTTTACAGCATATTCTGTGAAGCTCTTTGAGATGTCAATAAGACGTGAAAAGCGCTATTTCAAATGCAAGGATTATTATTATTATTATTCTGTGCTTGTACTTCGGGCTATCAGCAGGTGGTGCTCTTTGATTATGTGATTATAGTATGAGTGGATACAGACAACAACAACAACAAGATTGCAGCACAAGTAGGGGCATAGTAGGTTAGAGAGGTAGGAGGGAGCAAGGCCGTGAATGGCCTTGTAGATGAGGATCTTGAATTCATTCCTCTTTAAATCTGTTTTGTTAAAGGACACTAAATTCATTATTCATGTTACAATTTGTATCTGCTAACAATACATTGCAGTATTATAATGTAGAATAGTAAAAAGCAAAAAAAATTAAAGACGTTTTGCACAAAATTGATATAAAAACTATGCGTGGGCATTTACGCAAAAATACAGTCACTCCATTTCAGGATAAATCCTGGGAGCGTTTTGGGACATCCTCCAGATGGTGAAAGGCGCTATACCAAATGCAAGGATTATTATTAAATATCTCTAGTGTGAAGAGTTTCAAGAACAGCAATTTTCTGCTTGCTATTTTTCAGGGAACCAATTGTTCATTTCCAAGCTTAATCAGCAAGCACAATGACACGCAAGAGAATCTATATCTACAAGACCAAGAGACAAATTGAGACAAAAAGCTGTGAGGGGGAGTAGAAAAACAAAGCAATTTCATCATGTTTTACTGGATTGAGCTATTCAAATAGGTAGGTTACGTGTTCTATACTTCTGATTTGATAATGTAATGTATTGTGCTGGTACAATTTTTTTATACTTAATGTAAATAAATTGGGTACTTATTTTAACCTGTTTATTATTTGATCTATGTGCTAATATTCACTTTTTAAGAGAGTTTAGCAGCCTGGCACATGACCATGTAGTTTCAATAAGTGGAACAATTTGGCTGTGGCAATTGTACCTTAAGGGTACAGTTTCTGCTTACAGTGAGAAAGAAGTTTCTGCTTTAACAAGATTGCATTTCAGAAAGTCATGAATATTATAAGTCTATATCAGTACATTTCCACACTTGTGTAAATTTTCCATTTTTATATACACTTTCGCCTTGTTCTAATCTCCATCAGTCAACATGATGGGTGATTTTTGGAGTCCTGTAGCTCAGTGGTTAGAGCACTCGCTTTGCAAGTGAGAGACCTGAGTTCAATTCCAGGCAGGGCGAAACCTTGGGCAAGTTTCCTTACTCCACACACCTAATAATAATCCCTCCAAAACAAAAACAATAATAAATTGGTCATTTTCAATCTACGACTGTTTGTGGGACATTGCTGTGCGCAATTGGCTGCCGCGTTCGCCCACAAATATACAGTCAATTCACTTTACAGTCTATTCTGTGAAGCGCTTTGGGACGTCCTCCCGACGTGAAAAGCGCTATATCAAATGCAAGGATTATTATTATTTATTATTATTATTATTTTTTGGCCGTGAACTTCTGTCTAGGGAGTTAAGATGGCTCACTGATGATTTTCCTTTGAGATGGAGCGCTTGACTACTGTGATATGCTCCATCAAACAGCCTGTCTCACAAACATTGAATCACCCTTATAGATTCTAGGCAGACACTTCCTCATGAGAATATATAGAGGCTGATCTTGCACATCTTCCAGAAGCTGACTCAGAATGGGCAGAGGGATGGAAGCACAACTCAGCAGATTGGTGCAAGGTCTAAAGCAACAAAGTATCTGAGGAAAAAGTAACAGAATTTCATATTTTGCTTGCCTTGAGAGAAAAAATAGTGAGTGAATCCATATATATATATATACAATTACAATTTGCTGATTGCGTGGTATCACTGAAATCATCACCGTGAATTTCTTTCTAAATATGACTAATACATGAAAGTTAGGAATTCCAACCATTACATAATGCTATATAGTTATACCTTTTAAGGTTTGGCCCAAAAATATTATTACAAGCAAATAAAAATCTAGTAAAATTTGTGACTGAAATCTTTCACTTTTAAGATATTAAAATGGAACATTTTCTGGAATGAATTTTATATGATTAATTCATATTTATGTGGAATAAATGCTTATCCTTCAATATAGTAGTACCACGTGTTAGAGATCAAAGCCACCATCTGTATTTTTAAAAAAAATAGTACATGACAAATGTTGTCTATAAATCTCAATTCAGAAAATATAGTATCTTGTCTTGCATGCAATTATACTTGGGAAAATAATAAACAACCCAAGGACACAAGATTGTACAGTCCAAATATACTGGTTCATTGGTAATTTAAAATATGGAGAGAAGTAATCAGATATTACATGGAATACAATGGTTCCTGTGATGTTGAATTCAGTGAATCTACCTGTTGTTGAGAAACTTGAAATGCCTCCTGCCAATAGCAATTGCTAGACACGGTTGAAAAGCTGGAAATTAGATAAGGTATATTCTGGAGTGAGGCTCAAAGAGAAATGCAGAATTTGTCTTTGGAAGATTTAATAAAGTGATAAAGCCATCATAAAAGGAGTTTGTATAGTTTATCCAAGGGACAAGTTTCATGCATTTAACCACTTTTTCTCATTTCATCCTTATTATGATGTACTGTGCAAATGAACTGAAAATGCCCTGGCCAAAAATCCCACAAATAAAATTGGTCACTCACCCCATGGTTGTTTGTGGCACATTGCTATGCGCAACTGACTACCACCCAGTCACCCCATTTTACAGTATAGCCTGTGAAGCCCTTTGAAGTGGCCCAATGACATGAAAGGCCCTATATCAAATGCAAGGATTATTGTTAAAATAGTGCAAATTAGCTTTTTGAAATGGGATAATCTATTTCACAGAAAATTAGTCCTTCAATTAAAATACTTGAGGGTTGATGGGTCTGAGTATTACACCGTTAACCAATCGTTAGCTGTTGCATGACATCAGAGGCCTGAAATGTGGCCTCTTTAGTAATGTGGAGTCCTGTAGCTCAGTGGTTAGAGCACTCGCCTTGCGAGCGAGACACCTGGGTTTACTCCAGGCCGGGCGAAACCTTGGGCAAGTTTCTTTACTCCACACCCTCCAAAACAAAACATAATAATGAATTGGTCATTTTCAATCCATGACTGTCTGTGGGACATCGCTGTGCGCAATTGGCTGCCGCGTTCCCCCACAAATATGCAGTCAATTCACTTTACAGTGTGTTCTGTGAAGCACTTTGGGACGTCCTCAGGACGTGAAAAGCGCTATATCAAATGCGAGGATTATTATTATTATTTTGTCTTAAAACAACCCACGACCTTGAAAAACCGGGGAAACTTTTAAAATTCATTCAAAATCTAAATCTGGAAGCCAAGCGCTCTTCAACCCCCCCCAAAAAAAATAAATTAAGACAGAATTTAAGAAATTGAATCTCTAGGGGGAGCGAATAAACGGCGTTGTCCACAAAGGCGGTGTTGTGGAAACGCGAACGTCGGAATCTTTTCATTTGCTTTCGGTCGTCCGCACAACATTTCCGGTTCAGCTGCTGCTGGAGGGGCGGTGGTGGGGGGGTGGAAAGGGGCTGGGCTGCGCGCGCACGCGACGCACGCTACGTGCCTTGCGTGAGAATCACGTGGACGGCGGCGGCGACGCAGGCGTCGTGAGTAACATCCGGGCTCGGATAGGATGAATCCTACAATACAACATGGCGACGGAGGGAGGAGGGAAGGAGATGAACGAAATTAAAACTCAGTTTACCACCAGGGAAGGCGTCTATAAAGTGTTGACCCACTCCGAGTACAGTCGGCCGAACAGGGTGCCCTTCAACTCCCAAGGCTCCAACCCGGTCAAGGTGTCGTTCGTGAATGTGAACGACCAATCCGGCAACGGGGACCGAATCTGTTTCAATGTGGGCCGGGAGCTGTACTTCTACATTTACAAAGGCGTAAGGAAGGTAAACGGGGATTTTTTTATTATTTTGTCTAATTAATTAATTTGGTTTGTTTGTTTGTTTGTTTAGTGGGGACAGAGTGAAGAGGAGGGACATTTTCTTCCTTTCTCCCCAAACCTCCTCCTTCCCCCCCCCCTCCCCAAAGCCCCCCCTCCCCAACCCCACCCCAAAGCTCCCCCTCCCCCCACCCCCTCCCCAAAGCTCCCCCTCCCGAGCCCCTCCCCAAAGCTCCCCCATCCCCTCCCCAAAGCTCCCCCTCCCCACCCCCTCCCCCCCCCCCCCCCCCATCGCTGCCTGCGAAAATACGTGTAGTACCGTGCGGCCAATGTCTGGTTTGTCAGGCAATTGTTATCGCGGGTGGTCGGTCAGGGTGGCAGCTCACCCCCCACCCCCTCTCTCAGTCTGGGTTGTCACCTATTCCCGTGACAGTATGTATGAAAGCACTATTCCGTTTTCCGGCCCTGCTGGTTGGATTAGCGCACTGGGTTAGGTAATCCGGCTACTCGCAGAGATCACATCCTTTAATTGGACTTTTTAGACTGGATTTATTTTTAAAAATCTAATTATGAAGTCATGCACTGCGTCTTTCTCTGCGTTCAGCCGCTTCTATAGATCTTGGATTAATTTCGATATCAGTGTATCGTGAAACAATGAGTCATTCGCTCCGTGTAGTTTTAACTAAATCAAATGATTGCAGCATTTGTCTCTAAACAGCAGTGGTGTTGAGCCTGGAATGTTCTGTACGACTACCAAAATGTTCAGTAGTTAAAAATGTGGGTAAAAACCACCATTGTTGGCAGAATTTATAACTACTTACTCAAAATGCTTATTTTTGAATAGATAAACCGTGAATACCTACAGTGAAACTTAACTTTTTATTGGTAGGAAGGTTTATTATCTCTAGTTGTGATGGCAATTTAATCTCTCTTAAAAGTACTATACTGACTCTTAGAAATCACCATAACACTAAAATATCAACATTTACTTGACTTGAGGTCATCCTTATACACATGCTTTGTGTAAAGTGTACAGTTTGAAAAAAAATCTTTAAACTTGGAGATTTCTTCCTTTAAATTGAAAGTTAAATGATTTGAAATGAATTGTGTAATTTTGTGGTAGTATACCTTGTACATTAATTCTCTTGCAGGAGTCAAATCCAGGGCCCATCAGGTTGGTACCTGTTGTATGTAGATTTGGAATAGCAACAAATTCCTTGGGTGCAAAGATTATGTTAAAAGTGGGGAGTGGAAGAGATTAAATTGGTATTTAATATGGCACAGATTTTTTTAAAAATGGGTAATTTAAAATCAAATTGGAGCTAGAAAGTGAGAAAAATTGTATTGGAGTACATTTCTGGAGATCTGAGTAAGTGACTTAGAAATTGGGGCAAGTAGACTATGTTTGCCATGAAAGAATTATCAAGAACAAATACTGTAACCTGACCCTGTTTGGATATTTATAGGTGACTATAAGGAGGGCAGCCATCACCTGGTTAAATGTGTGATATGATTTATAGTCATTTTTACAGTTGTATTCATTGATCTGAGTGAATCGGGGTGTGGGGGGGTTGAGAGACATAATCTGAACATTTTAGTGAAGCTAAATGTGAAATTAAAAATGTCACCAATTGTTTTGATGGTGAGAACCAATTAACTGGTTGCTGGAAATTCTTTTCAATTGTGCAGTGCTACAATATTCTGTTATGTTTTAATTTGCAATAGGGACATTTAATTACAGAAACAACTGTAAACATCGATGGTCAGCAGTTTCTGCTATTTGAGTGACTGAGCATTGAAACAGCTATACAATAATATAGGCTGAGGAAGCACAATGACTTTTTTTTCTAGATACAGTAATTTGTAATGTGTTTCCTGTGTATCTGAGATGTCTGGGTTGATCTGTTTTATTAAAACTTACAATACTATTGATCTCAGAATGGTATAGTGCCTAAATCACTTTGCAGTAGAAACCAGCAGATGTTATTGTATATTGATTTATCTTAATCGAATAACATTATATAATAAAGATTCAATTATGTAAAAATAATTTATTTGTCCCCAGTCCATTTGGAATGTTTATATTTTTTAAGTCTTCCTGGGCTACAAGCCCTCACTTTGCAGGCTGGGAGAGAGTGACCTCCTTCTAGATTGCTGCCAGTGTTGATTGATTTAGATACTAGTAAGTGTACAAGACTGATGCAGGGTAATTTGTGATCAGGTTTTCCCTCTAGCACTGTGTCAAAGTATCTTGTTTCTCAATACTGTTTTCCCCAATAGAAATGAAGTTGGGAACTCAAATTGTAGGCTTGCTATATTGGGCCATATAAAATCTTAACTGAAAGCTCATTTGTCAGCTAAATTTTCTAAGCTTGTCATACCGTATCATGGTCACAAAGTGAAACACTGGGGGAGAAAATGGCTTATGAGTGGAAATTGACATACTGAAGGACGATTTTATTGTGTTCAGCAGTTACAGTGATACTGAAGCTGTTTTGTAGTAGTTATAAACAGCTTAATTGTGTGAAAAGCGGTGCAAGGAAAATTTCCAGTTTCACCACAAGGATAGCCAGTATGAGAAATGACTTGGGATTCTTGGAGCAATATAGTTTAAACCAATATTATTAATTTTAGTAATCTTTTTAAGTATTTCTGTTTTCTAAAAATTATTATTAATGCTAATTTAAAAAGTAGACTAAATAGTAGCAAACATGTGTGCCATTGACGAGACAAATGTTTGTTGTATTGGGATCTAACCTCATTGATCCTCACAACTTATATTGCTACACTTGTTAATGTAAGCTTGTGGTGCTTTTGAAAGAAATACAGACACATAGGGAAATCTTCCTAGGTATGTTTTTGCTATTGATAACATTTGTCATGCTTTGTACAACTCATTTTTGTTGGTAAAATTAGATTGTGTATGTAAGTGCAGATGTGCTTGTGTATGTGAGCAGAAGAGTTTTAATGAAACTGCCCAATATTATCTTGTGAACTTGCATATGAAATGGTTAAATTATTGAAAACAAATGTTTGAACCAGGCAAGTTAATTTACTTGGAAGATGGGGCTTCAAGTTGGTCTTGCAGGTCCAGTTTGTAGATTTTGGTGAACAGCAAAAAAAGGAGGCCTGGAACTTTAAAAAAAATTGCTTTTAAAAAAAGATTTACAGTGCAGTAACTTTTGGGGGCATTTTATCTATTACTCTTTCCTAATTCTGAAGGCACTAATAATTCTTTGCTAGGGTAAAGTTTACTGGGTTCTAGCTGCCATCTGGCGTACAATGCCCAAATTTTATTTCTTCTGTTTGAATGTTGGCACACATGTGTAACACCTAACTGCTGTCTTGGCCTAGATGAGTTGACTCAGTCCCCAGGTGTATTATCAAACATGGTGCCTTTTTAAAAATAATTGTTTTCAAATTTCTTTGTACTATTTAATGTTGCTGAACTAATATTTGAGACTATGACTTTGGCTAAACCTAAAGCACTGACCTGTTCTCATTTCCTTGAACGTTTACTTCTCTCCTTCCATTTAACTTTGAATTAACAAATCCCCGTTAAACTAATGTCATTACATTTTCTTGCAACTTGGTGGTGCTGTAATGAGCTATGTACCAGACTGCAGGTCTTTATTGCAGCAACTGGGTGGGACTGGAGAACTCCAAGGTACATTAACATCTCATGGCTACAAAATGTGGCTAGATGTGTATTTAGGTGTATTAGCTCACTCATGGAATGCCAAAAATCAGGTGTTGCTCTGGAGATCCTCTCACTCGTTTTCAAATCCCTTCATGCCCTTGCACCTCCCTACATATCCAACCTGCTTACCTTCCACTCCACCATCGGCTGTCTCTCTCCTCCTGTTTGACCCTCGTCCACTCCGCTCAATCATCAGTGACCGTGCTTTCAGCCACTACTCCCCAAATCGCTGAAACTCTCTCCTCAGCCTTGCCCCCTCACTCCCCACTTTCAAATCCTGCCTAAAGACCTTCCTTTTTGATTGGGCTTACGGTCACCTTCCCCCTGGCTCTGTGTCAGACTCCAGCACTGTCAAGTGCTCCGGGATACTACCCCGAGTGGTATAAGTTATTGCTGTTGGAATTCAAAGGAGGATTTTCATCTGTTGCAGGAATAATAATATGATGTAAGCTCTGCAATCACTTTTCTATTTGATTTCCTCGGTCATAAGTAGTTGTCTACTTACAAAATTGGAATTTGTGGGACAAGAATGCACTTGGAATTTGGTGGATGCGTTAGCAATTTGAAAGGCTGAATAGCAGTAATGATAAACCTGATCCATTGGAATTTATTTTTTGTGTGTTGTTCACACATTCTGGATAAACTGTTGTTGGCTTGAATATTTTGACCTCAGAAATACTGTAACAAATATTCAATCCTGTTATTTGGAATGTTATTCAATTTAAAGTTGCTATAGCCACGTTTTCCCATAATTATGTATTTATCACAATTGCACTATTGTTGCATGGTGTATTTGACTCCAATGAAACACAAACAATATATTTTATATGATTACAATATACTTGCATCCATCAAGAATATTTGTTACTGCTTTTTGAAAGTAATTTCTCAACTACAATTGCAGTATAAAAAGTATGTACAGTATTACCAATAATGTCTTTTTTTTTAAAAAACTCAGCACATTGTGCAGTAAAGGAAAGGTGAATACATTGCTGATGAATGGTATGTGTAATCAATATTTTCCTCATTTGCTGTTGCGCTGCACTTTACACAGCAAATTTGTGATTAATCTGAAAATCATGGTTAATCAGTCTGAAAATAACCTGTGTCTCTGATCTTTATCTCTTCCTATATGAAAATACTTTTTAAAATATTTATTTTGTTTAGCACTGAGCAGCTTTGTTGGATGTTTGCCAAACACTGCACTAATAAAATATGTTCATTGCCAAATTAGGTTTCATTGTGTGCCTTTTTTAACCGTTAAAAAAAAATGGCCCTGCAGAATAATGGAGTCCGTTGTGTTTCAC